AATCCTCATCCGCATGGTGGCACTTTGTGTCGCTGGGTATTTATCGCTTGTGTGATATCCTGTTGGGGTACATCTACCTACCATATATATATATATAGAGAGAGAGAGACAGACAGACAGACAGACAGACAGACAGACAGACAGACAGACAGACAGACAGACAGACAGACAGACAGACAGACAGACAGACAGACAGACAGACAGACAGACAGACAGACAGACAGACAGACAGACAGACAGACAGAGACAGAGACAGAGAGGAAGACAGCGTTCTACATCGGTGTAAAAAGGACTTCATCCCAATATCGGGATATATATTTTTATGTTAAAACCCCACCCCTAATAAAACCTATCAATTGAACGGGGCGTCTGGGACTTTGACCAGGGGGTTCTCATTCGAATGTTGGCACTTTGTGTCACCAGATCTTTATCCCTCGTTGTGCGGTCCTGGTGGTGTAGAACCTCACTCATTCACATTCGGTGTTGAATACGCGGTCTCGCCGATTACTCTGTTTAACGCTTTACGCTCACATGATATGCCTTCACACTGCAGATGATATAGTAAGGTGTCACGACACAGTTTGAACAGCTCCCCTCTACTTAATGAGAGATTACATCTGCTACTATCCACACCACCAACACAACTTCAGCTCCATCTTTCTGTTTCTCTATCTTTCGATCGATCTACTTTGCATCTAATCACCATTTCTTCAGCCTTACAACAGGCAATCAAAATGCAAATAAGAACAACTCTAGCTTGTACACATTCAGGACAGGATGTAAATGAAGTCATTAACAAACTAGAAACGTATATATCATCATGTAAACAGGGTAGGGGTGTATAAACAGATTTTCTGGTTTTAAAGAGATATTTTTGTTGAGAAGTAACGAAGTAAGCAGTTTAAGCTTTTACACAACAGATACGCAGAGATGTGGCTTCGGATGGTTAAAATGTCTGATAATTTTAAAAAAAAACGTTATATTATTTAAAAAATTTTAATTGATATGCCCGGAATTGTAGTTGGTGGGCACAATATAAACAATTTACGTTATGCTGATGGCACAGTCTTGATAGCAACAAGTCAGAAAGAACTACAGGAAATGATAGACATTGTGGTGTTAGAAAGTGGAAGAATGGGCCTCAGTTTGAATAATGGGAAGACAGTAGTAATGGTCGTATCAAAGAAACGAATTATTCCTAATTGTGTAATAAAAGTCAATGGTGTTATTTCAGATGGAAGATGCATAACTGAGATAAGAAACAGAATAGGACAGGCAAAAACTGCATTTTATAAAATGAAGAATATCTTGTGCAATTTATCTTTGTCATTGAGAGTTAGAAAAAGAATTCTTGCTTGCTACATACATACAGTTTTAACATATGGCTGTGAATCCTGGACCAAACAATTTCTTGAGGCCTCAGAGATGTGGTTTTACAGAATAATGCTTAGAATACCTTGGACAGCCAAAAAGATCAACCAAGAGGTTTTGAAAGTGGCGGGAGCCCGAAGACAACTTATCACAGTCATCAGAAGGAGCCAGTCATCTTTTTTCGGCCATGTTCTGAGAACATGTTATGACCACTGGAAAGATATGTAGAAGGAGGGATAGAGGAAGACAACGAGAGAGGATTCTTGACAGTCTTGTTGCATGGCATGGAGGTGTGTCGGCACACGAACTGATACATGCTGTAGGAGATCGTGGATTATGGAGAGGCATGATCACCCACGCCAGTCGGCAAGGCGCCTGATGATGATTATACGTTTGGTATCATACGCTTGGGAAATATACAGATTTGCGGGACATCAGGAGCCTCGCATGGCAGTGGTGAAACGTTGCAAGCTAGCTTGGTTTGGGCACGTGGTGAGACATGATTCGATTACAAAGACTGTACTTCAAGGGGGTAGTCGAGGAAAAGGAGGGCAAAAAAAAAACTAGAAAGACAACATCAAGAAATGAACAGGACTAAGTTATCATACACTTATTTATCAAGCTGAAGACATAGAAATATGGCGGGTTTTATGTGCTAGTGCTTCCATCAATACATCTCCACGACCCTAATAGGTGAAAAGTTATGTTATGTTATACGTTTGGTATTAAAGATATACACCCACTCGCAAAGCTATACACCCAATCGTAAAGACATACACCCACTGGCAAAGACATACACCCACTCACAAAGACATACTCCCATTCGCAAACACATACACCCACTCTCAAAGACATACACCCGCTCGCAAAAACATACACCCATTCGCAAGGACATACACCCACTCGCAAAGACATACACCCACTTCCAAAGACATACTCCCACTTGCAAAGACACATACAAACAGACATTCTCACTTACACACACTCATATAGACACATATATTCACACATTCATACATACACAAACTGTGACATACACACATCCACCCAAACTTAAACATGCACACATAGACATATATACACAGACACTCACATAGATATATTCATGCATTGAAATACGTACACTCTCACATACACATGCACCCACATCCATACATATAAAACATGTTTATTAAGTGCATACTCATAAATAAAACAAAAATGCATGCGCACTCTGTATGCACATACATTTGTGCACACATGCACATACATAGACTCACACATACATACAGACATTCATAAATACATCCACCAACAAACACTCATACATACATTCACATACATGCACAAATATGTCCATAAATTCATACATACGCATATATTCATAGATTGTACACTTACATACACTTTCATACATGCATGAACACCCATGTATACACACTGTCATACATACCCGCACAGGCCCACACGTGCATAAATACACATACAAACACTTAATTCATACATGCTCACTTGCACAAACATACATACACAAACACCCATATGTAAACATATATGTTGTTGTTGTTTGCGTTCACCGGCTATAAACTCCAGTGGAAAGACCTGGTTGTTCATCCATTTCTGGACTTTAGCTTTGTTACAGGAGTTTTGCGTGTGCATCTGTTTTACAGATCTGACTTATGTGTATGCAGATTGCTGGTTCCTTGCCTCTCAGGCAGATGCACTCCAACTTCAAAGGAAGCCCCCAGTTAGTCGACTCTTACAACATGCTTTTTGGGTAGGCAGTGGCTCTATTCTTGTTTTCCCTATAAAGGGGCCCCGGAACCCACACGGGGGGTACACATATATAACATAACCTTTGGCCCATTAGGGTCGTAGAGGTGTATTGTTGGAAGCACTAGCACATAAAACCTGCCATCTTTCTGTCTTCCGTTAGATGAATCAGTGTATGATAACTTATTCATGTCCATTTGTTGATGTTGTCATTCCAGATTCGTCTCTGCCCTCCTCGTCTTGGAACTCCACCCCCCGCCTCTTTGTTTTTTCTCCCCAAACCCCCAATGTTTATGAAAGCAGTCCTTGCAGTCGAATCATGTTTCACCACGTGCCCAAACCAAGCTGTTCGTTCGTCCATCACAAGTGATGAGGACCACTCTTTCTTTCATCCGTCATGAAACTGCAGTTGAATGTTTCTGAGTTCAGAGGTGACTTATATGTCCAATACGGTCACGGAAAAGTTTAGGACAATGAGGGCAGAGCTTAGTGACTGTAGACAAATGGCCTGTTTGATGGTTCTTGTTGTACTGTCTTTGCTGTTCAGCTTACCTTATTCTAGATGCCTCGCAGATCGTTGAACCATGTCGGATATATGTGCGCCATAAAGTACGGTCTTCTGCTGCAGCATCCCAGGTGTCCGGGTTTATCCTGAATGCTTTTAATGATGCCTTTAGTCTGCCCTTTGAGTGCTTTTTTTTGCCCCCCTTTTCCCCCCATGAGAACGTCGACGGTTACGTTTCTCACCATAGAAGATTATTTTTGGGAGCCGATGGTCAGGCATTCGAACAATATGGCCAGCCTATCGAATGTGTGACTCCGTCAGGTTAGTATTGATGCTGGGAATGCCAGCGGTGTCTAGTACAACAGTGCCCATGACCATGTCTTGCCACTTAATGTTCAGTATGTTTCTCAGACAGACTGTACGGAAGTGGTTAAATTTTTTTTTTCTTTATTTGCCTGACGTCTGTATATAGTCCAAGTTTCACCTGCAAATTGTATATTTTGTCTCTGACATATTTATTAGTTTTGTGTTCTAAATAACTAAGTCATAACATGCGTCTATAGCATTGACATTCGAAAGCCTGAATCATCGTTTCCATTTCTCCAGTTTGAGTCCAACTCTCCCATCACAGAAAATAGACAGTACGGGTGATTTGTGAATATTGACCTTGACTGCAATGCTGATTTTGCTCTTCCATATTATATTCAGCTGTGACGTCGCGGCTGTTGCCATATCGAGTCTTGTCTTGATCTCTTTGGTACAAGTACTTGATTATTGTGACTATTTAAAAGAATCTTTCCTTAGAATTAATGTCCATGTCATATTTACCATAGAGTGTTTCTAATTTTGTAATAAGTTCTTGGAGTTCTGTTTCAGAACCAGTCATGAAATTGATGTTATATGCAAAACGGAAACTACATAGTTGTCTTCCGCCAATGGATATAGACATTTAATGATTTTCTAGTGTTTCTATCATGATGTGTTTCAAATACAAATTGAAAAGCACAGGGGATGGTGTAGGACACCCATACTTAGACACGCTTATACATACTCATTTACTCACACATTGCACCGGAGCTACTGCGAAGACCGACAGAGCCATATGAGATAAATCCGATGCAACATAATCGATCCTTGCGACTATAATCTTTATATAGAAATGTGATTTTTAGCATCATACGCCCGACACGCCACTGGCGTGAAAAGGTCTTTAACCTTTACTTTAAATGACTTCTCGATTTAGCTTGTCTGCAGTCACCTCTGTTTCCCTCAAATATTTCTGTTCAGCAGACATTCTTCTGCCCTCATTCTACAGGTTAACGCTTGCCTCTGAGACGATGAGTGTTGCCATGTTCTCTTGAACGTGCCAGTGATGGACAAGTGGTGTGCTCTCCTTCCTTGTCATTGGAGCAGGGACACGGTTCTCTTGCACTGGAGAAAGTTGTTGAGGTAGGATGCTAGCGTGTGAGACTTAATGTTTTAAATGTTAATGTATGTTAAACATGTGCCAGGGGGGGGGGGGGGGGGGGGGGGGGGGTCGAATAAGAGAAGAACAAAGAAAAACCTGGAATGACAACATCAAGAAATGGAAAGAACTAATTATCATTCATTTATTCATCAATCGAAAGACAAAGAAAGATGGCGGGTTTTATGTTGTAGTGCTTCCACCAGTACATACATCTCCCCGACCTAAATGGGTCAATGGTTTTGTTATGTATGCTAAACCTCATACAGTAGTCAGACTAGAAAGCCTTGATGCGAAACCTACAGGGGAAAAGAGATAGAGGACAACGTAGAATCAGAGACAGATGAATACTGTGTGGAGGAGATGGGGTGAGCTGAAGGATATGATATTCGACGTAAAGGCTTGGTTTGAGTTGGTGTAGAGCATGCAGTTTTAATGGGCAAAAAAAATGGTGATGCGCTGATAATGATAAGATGATGTTGATGATGATGACTGACAAGGAAAAGGAGGAGATGGAGAAGCAAAAGCAGCAGCAGCAGCAGGGGAAAAAAAAAAAGAAGAAAAAAAAAAACAGAAGAAGAAAGAAGAAGAGAAGAAAAAGAGACTACATGCATGGCTATCTGAATCTCTACAAGGAAAATTTTCATGGGAAGTAAAGGTGGCATGTTGAGTAACCACTGATCAATAACTGTGTAGGTTTAGGACACCATGAACCTTGCGTCATAAATCTATTAACACAATGCATTGATTCAGTAAAAGCCTCCTGACTAGATATTTTATGGATAAAATGTGGGATGTCTCATCTCTTTTTCTCTTACAAAAAATAAGAGTACTAACCTAGCGGCTAGACTCAGCCTGCCGACCCGACTGATTATGGTTCAAATCGGCATAATGGCGGATTGTTTTCTTTAAAACTGACCTAGGCTTCCTAGTGTACCCAGGCGTAAAAGTGGTCCTTTGCTTACCTGTTTTGTTTTCATTTTCCAATCAACAGTGGTCTTGTGGCTGTCGTCAGTATTGCCATAATTGGAACCATGTGTTTCTGCACTGCGCCATACAAGCGAGAAGCTTCAGCACCTTGCGATGCTGCGAGCAGTGTGTCCCACGAGGTCCCAGACACATGTCCTTGGCAGTTGGTCATGTCTGACCTGGCTCACAGGCTTCGTTTGCTGGAAATGGCTTTCAAAGAGCAAGTCGTTGCAAGAGAGGTCAGTGTGCAACTGCTTTATTTGATTATTTTGAGTAGTGTATGAGCTTGAATCAACATTGAGTGGGTACCGGGTGCAATCCCGGGAAGTAAAGGCGGCCGGCGTGATGCTGACCACATCACCCATCTTGTGCCGATTGGTCAATAAAAATTATAGGTCTAGCCCTATATACCCTATACGCCTAAAGGTGTGAAAAAGGGACCTTTACTTTTTGTGTGTAGTGTGCGCGCATGTATGTGTATGCGCATGTGTGTGTATGCTCGCAGTGTGTGTATTTGAAAAACAAAGTTACGTGCAGGCGTGTAGGTATTCTGCTTGACGTTAAAAACATACATTGGCTTACCTTATATTTGATGGATTGTAATAACTGACGACATAAAAAACGAATGTTTCATCTGTGAGAAACGTTTATGTTACTTTTGTTCTGTAAGTAGTTCCTGACTTTTCCTGAAACTTGTCAAGACATCAGGCCTGGTATCTAGAGAACAGTTTTGAACTCTACGGTCAAATAGTCTCAAATCTGTACGAAAGTGCCAACTTCGGTAACTCTGCCCTCCTTGATATGACAAACTAATGTCAGGAGTCTTCTCACGCTGCCTTTCTCTATTTCTCTTTCAACAGATCTTTCCAGTCGTCACAGCACGTTCCTGTTACGTTCTTTTCATAACATGACCAAACAAATTATGTCTCTTTCTAATGTTTGTGACAAATTGTCTTCAAGCCCCCGCCTGTTTCAAAACATCTTTGATGTTCTTTTTGGCTGTCCAATGAAAATTCTAACTATTCTTCTGTAAACATAGTGGAGACTTCAAGAAATTGTTCGGCTTGTTTATCATCGGTCTGGGATTCACAGCCATAAGTTAAAACTGGCGCTATATATAGCATGCAAGGTTTCTTTTCCTAATCTCCAGTGACATTGATTTATTGTGTAACATCTTCTTCCTTTTAGAAAATGCAGTTTTGACATGTTCTGTTATGTTTATGTATTTGTATATATATATATATATATATACCACTACTCTTCCTTCAAAACTCCTCCTTCTTCTCCTCCTCCTAATTCTTCTCTTCTTCTCCTCCTCCTTCTTTCCATGCCAAGATAAAGCTTAGAAACTCATCATCAGGATCCTATGCCACTGCCCCCCAATCCCACTAAAATACTAGAATACCCTGTAGGGGATTGGAACCCAGAACTTTTCCACTCGGAAATCAGCTTCTTTTTGACACTAAATCCAGTACAGTAACATCAGTAGATAGCTAACATCCCTCGGCGGGCTGGTAGCTCCCGGTAATCCTTCCACTGCTTTGTTCTTCTCTCTTTGTCGTTTTAACGTACAAAGTCTGCTGAATCCGCCCGTTAGCCACGTCCCCAGTGAGAAGCCGGTGTCTCTCCTTCTCATCAATTTACTTGACGTTCAATAGCACCGTCTAGCATGAACTGTGGGGCAGTAATGTGATAAGATGAAATCTGCTTGAAAGACCGGAGCCGGCAAATTCCACTGACGTAGTTGGGATATAAAAACATACATTTACGTCTGTTTAAATCATCACCGGCGACTGCTTCGCCCATTGGCTCGCCGGTAGAGGACTTCCTCGACTGTCGGGACAGTATTTGGGTCTGTCTCCTTTGATCGCATCAACACTGCAGGAGTCCTTCCCCTGGTTCTTGGTGTCGCGCAGTGCTAAGCCGTTTTTTTTTTTTTTTTATGGCGCACATTACCTAGTCACAGTTGTAACCTAAACCTTTCGGGGACGCTGTTTGAACGAACGTTACGATTTTTTTTTTTTTTTCAGCAAAGCACCTACCTATCTCTCTGTTTAAAAACTGCATTGGGTAATTATTATTATTATTCGCGTTCACTGGCTGTAAACTCCGACTGACTTTCTACCCCACTAGGACATCACACAAGCGATAAACACCTGATGACACAAAGTGCCACCATGCGGATGAGGATCACCGTGGAGAGGTCCCAGAAACCGCGTTCAGATAATTGGCCATATTGATGGCCTGCCTATATTGCGACCCCCGGCAAAAGAAAGAGTGGGGCTTCAAATAACAAAAAATTTCATCCTAAAAAGGACAAAACGGAATAGAGTTTCTCGTAAACTCCGACCGAAAGTCCAGATGGTTACCCGCTTCTGGACTTTAATTTTCTTCCAAGACTATAGTTTTGCATGCATGTAAAGTTTACACTTCTTGTTTATTTGTGCGCAGACTGTTGGTTCCTCCTCTCTCGGGCAGATGCGTTCCAGCTTCGAAAGAAACGTCGATCATATCCACGTTGGTCAGACTCCCAGTTGGAAACCTGTTTCTAAGATGACCACAGATAAGTTTACAAGGATCTTGAACCCATAACATAACATAACCCTTGACCCGTCAGGGTCGTGGATGTGTAATGATGGAAGCACTAGCAAATAAAATCCTGCTTCTTTCTCTGTCTTTCATATCATTAACCCCGTCCCCATGTGGGACGTATTTTTCGTTATTTTGAAGCCCCACCTTGGTTATTGCTGCGGCTCTAATATTTCCTAATTGTTGAACGGGATTTCTGGTACCTCTCCTCGTCCGATTGGTGGCACTTTATGTCACCCGATGTTTATCGCTCAGTGTAATATCCTAGTGGGGGTAAAAATTCAGTCAAGTCTGTCTTCCACATGATGAATTAGTGTTTGATATCTTAGTCCTGTCCCTGTCTTAGTGTTGTCACTCCAGGTTCTTCTTTAACCTTCTCTTTTATGACTACCTCCCATTGTTCTTTAAATCACAGACTGTGCAATCGAATCATGTCTTAAAACGTGCCGAAACCAAGCTAGGTAGTAGTTTAAGCCCAGGACCTAATGAAATCAGGGCTGCCATAAGTTGTTGGGAATAATACCAAACTCTTTTTTTAAAGTACCAAGACACACAAAAAGGTACACAAATTTCAATTTAAAAACCGTTCAAATGAATTTAACAAACACATATTTTTGCTGGCTTAGCTTACATTTGATCGGAAAAGAAATTCTGTGTCCGTTACATCATTGCGGTACCATTTGTTTATTCGCGCAGTTTGTTATACCGCTGCTGTAGCGACTTCCAGTTGGTGCAGTGAATGTCCTGAAGCAATAACTTTGATCTTATCGATGCATTTATTGTTAAATTCTTTGACGAAAAGTGTTTTTTTAAGTTCTTATATTGTTAAGGAGAAAAAAACCTTAAACGTACTTAAAACATTGAGCGTGCTACCAAAAGGACAGTTTGGCTCGGCCAAGGTTAAATAGTATCAAGTGTGTACGAAGATACCAGTTTCAGGAGCCCTGCGTGGAAGAGGTTAAATCCGTCTGCTTCCCGCATTGAGGAATAAACTAGTGTGATCGGTACTCTTGTCTGTCGATGTCGTAGGTTTCCATTGAAGTTCCCCCATCAGGATTTTTAAAAATAATTTTTTCACACACACACACAAAACATTGATCCTGCCAAAAATCTGCTGTCTAAGCAACTAAGAACGATGGAATCTCATTCGGAAGACTCGGGTTCGAATTCTCGGTAAAGGTCATTAAGTTTTCCATGTGGCCCTAAATCCTCAAGCTCACAAATCCCACTGCCTACAACAAAAAAAAAAACTGGCAAATATAGGCACTAACTGTAAGTGGGATGTCTAGTCTCTGTAAGCAAGCCAGATTCTTCTAACTGGACACCACTGATTTGGGAAGTATGGAAGACCACTTTGATTTAGAATCTTATTGTGGAAATGTATGCAGTTAAATCTCCCAGCCCGGTTTTATTTCAGGTTACTCTGTAATCGTCGTATGCCCAATATAACTGTTACATACAAGTGTGGTTGAACGGGGTTTTCTTGACTTGTGCCTGTTTGATTCTCATCCTTGAGCTGTTACTCATAATGACTGCAATGCTGGAAAACAAAAGGAGGAGGGTGAATTATTTACATTACCTATTTACTGAGAAAACGAGACAACATACCTTAATGTATGGGGACCGTACTGGAGTACACCTGTCGGCACTTCAATGTGTTTAACGTCACGCCGACCACCTAAACTTCCCATGACATTTCCTCCTACTATTGCTTGGCTGGGTTTACCTGGGAGCTGTCGGTCAATTATTGTTTTTTAATTGTCCCGAATTTGATTTTCACCTAAGACATTTCAACCGACAGAAGAAGAATGTGATGATGATAATGATAAAGAAGACGATGAGTAAGGCGGCGACGACGAGTAAGAAGGAGAAGATGGAGAAGGAGGGGTGAAGAAAGGATTTTATTACTGGCGTTACACGGTACCTGCACTATTTTTAGAGCCGCGGTGATATCACATTGTGTTGACTACTAGCACCTTTCTCAAACACTTTGTAGTGAGTATCGCACTTTTATTTTAAAAAAGAAAATAAAAGCCATGAGAAGTTATGTGTATGAATTATCAAAAGAGATTAATACACGTTATGCAGATACCTAAATTCGCAGTGAAAATGATTCTTTGACAATAAACCGCACTGATAACTCTAACAGGCATCGCCGCATCTCAGCGACCACCTCTATCCCCATTCTCATATCAAACTTACTTGATGTGCACATCCCGTATTGTTGCAGGTAATAGCGGCCGAGGTGACCAACCAGTCCTATTCTAACCTGGAGCTGGAGCGGAAGCTGGACGACCTAATGTCCGCTATCAAACAGCTGTCCCACAGACTGGACAAAGTCAAGGAGCAGATATCTGAGGTCTCATCCAGGCTCTATTCTGATGGTAATTTTCGTTTGTGGATATTAGATCAATGTTGTGTTGAAGTAAATAAGGAATCTTTTCAAAACACAGTGAGTTAATGATTTTAACTCGATAGTTTGATGACTTGTTGTTAAGATGTGTTATGGTTGTCACATCGTTACTCTAAAGAGCCGCCACTTGTCTTGTTTTACACAAATCTAGGGATTGACTTCATAAATAAAACACACACTTTTAGTTATATCTGTAAACCTTATTAAATTTCAAAGTTGTGCGCATTCTCAGTGTAGCATGTTTTTATAAATTATTTATTAGTTATTACTGTTATACAGTTTATTTGCCTGTATATACTCCTCTTAAAATGTATTAGTTATTACTTACTACTACTACTACTACTACTACTACTACTACTACTACTACTACTACTACTACTACTACTACTACTACTACTACTACTACTACTACTACTACTACTACTACTACTACTAACAATAATAATAAAAATTGTCAGGGACCTAATTTACTCTATTTAATGTATATGGCTCGCTAGGTAGGCCAGCTGACAGACTTAACTACCCAGACACACTTAAGACAATACTCCTGCTGAGTACAAACATAGGAATAAACTCACAGGGAGCAAGTACAGCAGGGATCTACCAGTCGTCAGTAGAAATTATCCTCGTCGACAAGTGTTTCGGCCCACGATTCCTAGACACTTTCGGAGGTGGGCCCACCTGAGTTCATGAAGCTCAGGGCTGGTACCCTGCTGCACGAAATTACCGGATGGTGTTTTTCTTTCGGATAGGGACAAGACGACTTGGTGGTTTGCAGAAGGTACTGTGAGATAAGAAGTCGTCGCGGCAGCCTAATTAAAGCAGTCAGCATACCTGGACGACCGAGCGACAAGCTTACGATTGGTTTACCGGACACATGTTGGACTTTTATTAGCAGGTGGCAGAGGATCACTGGCAGACAATTCGGACACGATGGACTTTCAAGGGGTGAGAAACCCTTTTCCGCTGGACACCCGGACCAGCTTACCGAGGCCCGTCCCCTACGTTGTTCCGTTGCGTCCAAAGCCAACTCGAGGCCCTTTCGGCTGCCTCGCCCATTTTTTTAAGTGTTCGTTTCCATTCATTACCGCGCAATCCTAGTTCTTTAACCACATTGTACAGTGAAGTGGAAACGAGGCCTCTCGCTGCCACTTCGACGGCAAAGACCCCTACCGTGTACGCCTCGTTTCTTCTCAGACCGGCTGCTAAATCATTGTATTTCTCGAGCTTATACATGTGATTCTCCTCCATACGCGACTCGTACGGGACAGTCCGCTCAATCAGGATGAGCTGCCGTTTTTGCGCAGAGTGGAGAACTATGTCAGGTCGCAGGCCGGTCTTCCGGATTAACTCGGGGTACCTTTCATGGCCCGGCAGATCAACCGCCAGTAACCAGTCCCTCGCAGAGTCTAGCACAGATGGAGCGAATGCGTTTCGGTTGACCTTACCTTTTGGAACCTGCCCAGCCTTGAGGAAACGAATGGGGACGATGGTAGAACTGGCTTTGGCGTTAGCCCTCATTATAGCCTGGTCTACAACGGCTGCTAACTCTTTTAGCACCTTGTTGTGTCGCCGGGTATATCGGCCTTGACCTAGGGCTTTCCTGCACGCGGACAGGACGTGTTCTAGCGTCTGCTTCGCTTTACACAGCGGACAAGTCGGATCGTTAGTCGCAGACCATTTAACCATGTTAACACCCGACGGTAATACATCGTACGCCGAACGAACGATAAAGCTCAGTCGCAGCGGGGTCATCCGCCAGATCTCACCCCATGTGAGTATTCTTGGCAATGCGCTCTCCAGGGTGACCCAATGGCCCTGCTGCGACTGCTGGGCTGCTTTCTGAAACCGAACCTCGTTTTCATTGTCCCTCACCATTTGTATTACCATGTCTCGGCGCTCTTTGGCTGAGGCCTTTGACCACCAATTGACCTTTCCGTGCCCTAGGCCTCGACGGTCGGTTTGAGTGTATCCCATTATCTCCTTCAATTTTAGTGGATTCTGGGCAGATTCTATCGCATCGAGAACTCTCCACTTCTGGCCAGTCTTTAGAGCGGGCTGGACAGCGATGACATTTGGGTCTGAAGACTCGCGCAAGAGCATGGCGAGTTTTACTTTGCCAACTTCAAACTCTTCGGTTATCGATTTGAACGGGAGTACCAGCTTAGCCTGCTTGCAATACAGAGCCACGTCGGTCAGACAAGGCGGTGCACCAATCCACTTTCTCAAGGCTGTGTAGATTTTCTTGTCCATGGTTTCCACTGCGGTCATCGTCACCTCGTAGACTAACAGTGGCCAGAGCAGCTTCGGAATCAACATGAATTGGAGACACCATACCTTGAATTTCCCAACCAGCCTGCATCGCTCGATCGCGAGCAGGCCTGTAGCCAGTGACTCGTGTATTCACCGGACCTCCGCTCTATCAAATAACTTCGAATCGTAAACGCGACCAAGGCTCTTCACCGGTTCCCCCAGAACCGTGGGGATCTTGTTCCTTGCCACCGTAAAACTGGTTGCCGACACCTTGCCCTTATGGATTGACAGACTCCTCGACTTCTGCGGTTTGAACTGCATACCGCTCCATTGGACCACCGCGTCCAATCTTTTCAGGATCGTGCGGGCAGACTCCTCGCTGCCCGTTATAATAGTCGTGTCATCCATAAATGCTCGTAGTGGCGGCATCCAGTGATCCCCAATTTGAAGGCCTTGTCCGTAGCCTTGTTCGTACACCCCATAGCTATCCCAATCTGCAACTCAGTCCATCTCGTGGTAAACGTCGAGGTAGAGAAGCGCAAAGCGAACTTAGAGAAATATTGCTCAATCATATCATTGATCTGTGCCGGTACGTGGAACATGCGAAGGGCTCGCCACAGTAGCCTATGGGGGACTGCCCCGTAGGCGTTGGCTAAGTCCAACCAAATCACGTGCAATTGAGTTCTCTAATGCTTGGCACTCTGGATAGCCTCGCAAATCATGGTCGCGTGTTCAAGGCACCCAGGAACGCCCGGAATACCACCCTTCTGAACACTCGTATCGATGTACTTGTTAGCCATCAGATACTGTGTGAGCCGGCGAGCCATGACCGAGAAGAATATCTTACCCTCGACATTCAACAGCGAGATGGGCCTGAATTGGGAAAGACTCTTCGAGTCCTGCTCTTTGGGAATGTAGACCCCATTCGCCTTTTGCCATTCAGGACATATGTGTTTGCGGATCCACGCTTGTCTCAACAAGACGTGAAGCATTTTTAGGATTTTCGGGCAACGCTTGTAAAGAACGTACGGAACACCATTCGGACCTAGGGCAGACTTGCCGCTGGCCTTTTTCACAACTTCCTCAACCTCAGACCAAAGGGGAGGTATCATTATAAATGGTACCTTAGGCAACTCAGGCTGCTTGAGGCCGCTAAGGATCTCTGGATTGTCATCGAGAGGCTCTCTACTTTTTTTGTCAGAGTACTACATCTTGCGTAGATGTGACTCAAGTTCTTCCTGACTGACAACCAGAGTCCCAGACTTCGGTTGCTCGAATAGACCTCGGGCAAACTGATACGGGTCCCTAAAGAATTTCTCTCGCTCCCTTTTGGTTCTCCGTCTGTTGGCACAGAAACGCTCGGCGCGACAGAGGGCACTGTTTCTGTTCTTTAAATGCAACCAGACTTCGTACAGCCCCTCCCGTTCGCTACCTGTAGCGGCTTTGAACCGTTTTCTGAGGGCATTCTTGTCTGCCCGACACTTCAGAATGTCCCTCTGCCTCCTGCTAGTATTCTGCTTGGCACCCGGCTGTGCCTTCTGCACTGTCCCGAACTCGCGGGAGCAGTGTTCATATATAACATCACCAAATTTTGTAAGCTTGTCGCCTAACGACTTCTTGTTTAAATCATGTTAAAGTATCTCACACAATGTAGCCTCCAACTTACACCACACCACCTTATCGCTCGCAGGTGGAAACCTGATCCTGGAACGCACTTCCTCAGAAATCATCAAATGTGCTCCTCCGCAGTCGACGTCATGGGCCTCTCCGGGCGAGTGGGGTTCACCCTGCCCGTCGTTCCCTGACGACTCAGAAACTACCATAGGAGTAGTAGTTTTGCGACGGCGTTTACTGCGTGGAGCACCCTCGCATTTCATCCTTCCGGCATGCGTTCTCAGACCATGCAACCCCGTGAAGCTTTTCCCACATGTACAGAGCCAGCCCGGACGTTGGGCGAGTATCTGAGTCCGGGGGCTAGCATAGTCGTCACCGAGAGTATCAATTTGATTGGGCCCTTCATTCCCCCCCCCCCTTTCAGAGGGCCCTGGGGGCATATTTCTATGTGGTTGTACGAAATCGGAGGTATTATACTGTGTTAGGGGTGATCAACCCGGTCCACAGTCGACATCTGTCTCCAGATGTCAGTTTATTCCCCCGGCGATACCGGGGGGCCAGTCTTTCCATAGGTGTCACAAGGTCTTTCCCGAGAGTCACCATTCTTTCATGGTAGTCTTGTGGGCTAGCCACGTACAATAGGAATAAACTCACAGGGAGCAAGTACAGAAGGGATCTATCAGTCGTCAGTAGAAATTATCCTCGTCGACAAGTGTTTCGGCCCACGATTACTAGACACTTTCGGAGGTGGGTCCACATGAGTTCATGAAGCTCAGGGCTGGTACCCTGCTGCACGAAATTACCGGATGGTGTTTTTCTTTCGGATAATCTTTAATGGACAATGAACAACACGACGTTAAACACTTCAACTGAGCTAAGCAGTCCCCATCCGAAACCCCCTTGGCGATGACAGCTTTACAATCGCTAATCAACCCAGGCCAGTTCCCATGGATCTATCAGGAACACGACTCTTAGCTGGCAGTTTCTCAGTGCTAATTAATCCGCCGTCTATTGCCAAACGGGACTCAGGGATACACGTAAGGTGTATGGCCTAAGCGTGACTGGGCAGTGTTACCGCCATTACAATGCGCGTCACACCTTGATTAACTGCTCAAACAAATACTGCATGAAATCTCTACTACACAAAGAACATTAACTCTATACTATCTAGTCGAAACATTAAATAGAAACACAGCCTATCATCGATACTAAATACAAATATCTAAATACCCTTTTGTATCTCCGCCTGAGTTCACGGCTTGACACGCAGTAATCCGTGTAACCTGAGTGAACTAGACCTGACCCGTTAACTGGACCCAGTTTATTGCGTCATCAAGCTGTCCGCTCTCATACTGAGTTGTACTGAAGGTCGACTGGTTCAAACGTGATGATTCACTATCATCCTTCCCATAGCCGATCTGGCCTCTGACAATAATAATAATAATAATTTTGTTTTTAAACCGTCTAGAATTTTTTTTATGTGTGTGTGTGTGTGGGGGGGGGGGGGGTGAGTTGTTTAGGAAGACCTGTTTTCAGCTCAGAATATTAGTGGAATATCCCGTTTTCAGCTCCAGATGTTAGTGGGGAAGCTCCGTTTTTACCTCAAAATTCAAGTGGGATGTCCTGTTTTCAGCTCCAGATATTATGGGATGTCCCGTTTTCAGCTCAAAATATTAGTGGGATGTCCCGGTTTTACTTAAAAATATTAGAGGAATGTCCCGTTTTCAGCTGGAGGATAAAGTGTACTGAGACACCTGACCAAATAGGCACCCCTGTAAAAATGCGTATTTATTTTTTTTTGTGCCCTTATATCTTTCTGCTTCATTCTTTGAGTGCCTATCAGTACAAGTCTGATATATGTATGTGTGTTGTTTCTACGGCACAGGAGCTCCCGGTTAGTTAATTTCTGAGGACAGTTTATGAGGGATTGCCGGCGTTCTGCAAGGGACTACTACATTATGATAATGGCCTCTATATTGTCAACAGCAACCCCTCAGCCCCCCCCCCCCCCCCAGCTTATTCCATAAGATATATTTAAAACAGAAATATCACAAATATTTCTTCGAAAACGGAGTACATCTGCTCGAGAGGCAGTGAACACAGTAAAACAGATGTACACGCAAAACTGGATATATATTGATATAAATGAAGCAATGAACAAAGCGAGAAGTCTAAATGGACTACGAACAATCAAGATTTTCCACCAGAGCTCACAGACGGTGAACAAGAAGAAGAAGAAGAAGATCACAGAATAACGAGATTGTCTCTTTTACAGAATGCCTGGGTTTCCTGGTCCTAATGTTTGTTCTGGTACAAATTATCCTGGCCTTGAGAACGAGGCTACGTGATAAGCAAGGCCAAGGGGTCAAAGCTCACTCAACTCAAACCCACAATGGTTCTACAATGAATGCTTTAAGGTCTTTCTGTAATAATGTAAGTATGGTTTTTGTAGTAAGTAAGATAAAGTAGTGCTGTGTTCCTCTGCCTGTAGACCCAATAGCGCCTTCCGTCCGAGGAAATTATCCTAGCGGTCCACCAAAAATGTCCTTCTTATCATGAAGCGGCTCTAAGAAACAAAGCTTCAGCCACATATATCAGATTTGGGGGCTGAGTGGTCTCGAGGTATGGCACCCGCCTCGCGTGCTGGAAGTCCCGGGTTCAAATCCTGGTGAAGGCTGGGATTTTTTCACGTGGACTTCTAGTAATTGCCCCTGGTCTTTATGTAGTAAGACTAGATGCTCGTTCGTATTGTTGCGCACGTAAAAAATCTCTTGGCAGCTGGAAATCGAAAAAGAGTAGCTTAACGGCGCTGCCCAGGCACAATTTAGAGTTAAAAATCTACCCAAAGTCTTTCATGATCCTCGCCGATGTAATGGTGCTCGTGCACTGCGCTGAGAATATTCAGACTCAATTTGTTTTAGAAGTAGAAAGGAGCACTTATTGGTTGCACCCGTGTTCCATGATGTTGATCTGTTGAATGTAATTGGTTAGTTGCTTCTTCTTCTTCTTCGCGTTCACCAGCTGTGAACTCTGACGGAAAGTTCTGTATGTTCGTCCACTTCTGGACTGCAGCCCTGTTCCAGAACCCGAGTGTTGCGTGTGCATCCGTTTGACAGATCTGTATGCAGACTGTTGGTTCCTTGCCTCTCAGGCAGATGCATTCTGACTTCAAAGGACGCTCCTAATTAGTCGACTCTTACGACATGCTTTTGGGTAGGCAGTGGGTCTATTCTTGTTTTTCCCATAGTAGGGCCCCGGAACCCACGCGGAGGGGGGGGGGGGGTTAGTTGCGTATCCTTTACAGGACGTTGCGGAACCAACCCTAACAGCCCCTGGCTGTTGTGTGGTTTTTCTAGGCAAATTTACGTCCAGTAGTTTGCCATTGCTTCCTGGATGGTCGGCTTTCTTGATACCACTGTCGAAACCAACGCAATGCGCATGGCCCGCAGCTGGAACCGAACCCGGCATCCCGGCATTACGAAGCGTTCGCATCTACTTAGCCACAGGGCCGACTAAGTAAAAAATATCAGATTTTATAACCTTTAACAAGGGGAGAAGCTTAACAAAATGGATACACATAAACATGTGTACAGAACAACACAAATAACGTTTCGGTAGGCAGCCTTTGTCAAACATAAAGTGAACTACACAAAGGTAACAAAGAGGAGACTATTCGGATCTCTAAGGGGTGACGTAAGCAACGTTTAAAAAAATGGGCTATCCTCCTAATTACGGCCACATATTATGGCGGCCAAACACACACCCTGACAGGGCCTCATTAGGTCATGTGTTGTAAACATTCAAAATTGAACTCGAAAATAATGAGGAACGAAAAAAAGGGAAAATTACGAAATTGCGACAATTGAGGCTTTTATATCTGAAAATAGTGTCACAGAGATTGCAAATAGTGCCCAAAAATCTTCTTTTTGTGGCGCCATTGAAACTAGGCTAAATATGATCGGTGCCGCATTGGTAACGCAGTTTTCACAGCCGAGAGTAACTCCCGCACCGCTACGCTCGGCGCAGATAGGGAGCTTAACTAGATAGCTGGGACTCACGAACAAATAAATTGGAGGAAGTTGCAGGAGATGCGGTAGCTCCTACTCGGGTGTCCCAGCCATGTAGTTTAGGCCACCCCCTTCCCCCCATCCACGCCGCGCGTGGAATACGCTGGGCGGTGAGTTTAATCGGAAAAACACTATCGCTAACCTGCGTCGGAGCGCGTAGTCTTCCTGTCATGTGGCTATTGTCGTGTGTATTGTTGCGTTTCTCGAAATTGTCGACGGTCGGTAATCCTTGTTTTGCCGCGATGTGTTCGTCGAGGAAGTCCGCAATTTACCTGTGAGGCCCTGTCAGGGTGTTGTTTTGCCGTCATAATATGTGGCCGTTATTCGGAGGATAGCCAAAATATGTGATGTAGAGTGAATGAAATAATATAAATGTTGGCTAAAACAAAAATACAGTCGCAAAAAATAAAAAGTAATATTGTTAATGTATAATATAATAGTAGGAATAAAATAAATTAAACTGTTAATGATAAATAAATGATACTGATAAGAGATAGAATAAAGTAATAATATGATATAAAAGAAAAGAAGAGAATTAAAATTTAAAATGGGATAATAGTAAAATGGTTTAGATCAAGGTATGTTGGATATTGATATCACTTGGACTAAGAACACCTAGGTTGTGGATGAGGCGATTTCGCAAAGCGAGGTGCATGGTATGATCACTAGAGCAAGATTTTAATGCTGTGACATATATATCATCTTTACCTCTGTAGTCAGAGCTGTTAAAATGGAGAGGGATTGGTTTAAGTGTATTCTTGTCAAAATCGGAGAGGTGTTCCCGGAAATGATCAGCTAGCTTCCTGCCAGTTTCTCCAATGTATGCCTTGTTGCATTTTTGCAGATAAAAAGGAACATACATAGTCGTAATATGGAAATTCTAAAACTGTGTAATTTAGTGAGCGAATTCTTCATGCTGCACACAAGAATACATTATGGTTCAGCATCTGGGTCGTACGGGATTTCCCGTCAGCATGTGTGCAGCCCCCTCTGGTGTCGATCAATGACTGGCATCTCCTGGGCTGCCCACACTCCCTAGAGTGCCTGGAAGAGGTCGCGACGATTGGCTAGAGCAAAGTCTCAATGACAAACACATCTATGCAGCTCATCCAAAAGATGCTCAGTCACACATGTCTGCAGGCATGATTTGCCAGTGGGTGAGAATGTTGGCAGTCAAAAACTGTGTGGTCAACTGTGAGAATGTTGTCTGGCATCGTCCTTTGAATAACAGGCCTTTCAGCACCTTGAAATCCAAGGACACAGAATTGAAGAATTTCACTGACACATCGTTGCGCATTCAGGTGTCCTTTAGTGTGCACCAAATGGCTCCTTCCATTGTAATTGTTCAGTACCCATGAAGATGAAGAAGATAATTTTGGTGTTGGCGACGCGTAAGGACAGGTTCTCATTAAGGTGGTCATGCCTAAAGTACAGCGTCATGCAGTCTAATCCCAAAAATTTGATCAGAAACATGATGTCCTGGAAGCAATGACTGGCAGGCGAGGAAGCTATTGTAAACCTGTTTCTGAAGTGACAAAGTCGGGAAAAAAAAATAATAAACGATCCATCTACTGCTGTTGTCCCTCTGATTCATCCACTAAGTCTGTCTTAAGTCAGCGGCTTGGAACTGATGCCAGAGTCGACATGTTACTCTGATGCACGTTTAGATGCCCTGCAACCTGACTTAAACTTGCAGTCGGCTAATAACATTGTTCCTTAGATTTATCGGTGGAGACACCATACATGTCTGTTAGAAAATTAAATGAATTTTTTTGTAGCGTTACCCTTTAATAGAGTTTCAGTTCCTTTTTCATTGAAAGTTGTTCACATCAAATTGTTTTGTTTTCTCTTGCTCGCATCATGAGTTATGTTTTTTTTTAATTGGTCATGAACACGATTGACCACTACGTTGTAAAGATTTTTAAAAATGAACACAGTTCACGCTAATATGTCTATTTGAAACTGTAAACAACATTTGAGTCTGCTTTATACATACCCCAGCATGAAATTTCACTTAAAAACTAATGAAAACGAGTCACTAGATAACCAAACGCTTTTTTTTACAGTATAAATCATATTGTCATATATGAAAATGAATCAAGGACGGTTGCATTTTCAGTAAATATCAGTAAATAAACAAAGGTCACCATGACGTAGTGGTTAACCACCTGCTCTCTGCTTTGAAAGTTTCAGATTCTTAAGGTTCATGCGTGCCTGTATTTGGAAGATTTATAGGGTTTTTGGCTGCAACTACAGAGTCTGTTCTTTATGCAACACTCTGCAAACGACCAGTTACTCTGCACAGAGAAATAAGCCATGTGGAGTAATGAAATTGATCCTTTTGACTTTTATTCTTTTTAAAAAAAAAAAGTCATACCGTCTCCAATTTGGCTGCAGTGTATCTACTGATAACTGTGGAAATATTCCATGGTGAGGTCACAGTCTTTTGCAAAGTACAACTCTCGTACTGCTGTCTGAAAACCACAGGATGGGTCTTTTTCCAGACCTTCCACCGTAGGAATTGAACCGTGCTAAACGTTGAAGCTTGCATTGTGAAACCATTTGACTGGTCTCTAAGCAACAGATCTGCACTATGAATCCACTCATCATGTTGAAGGTCCTTTGTAGAACATCGCTCTCATTACAACCTTTCTGAAAGAAACTCGACCTCTCACCAGATCTCCCGCCTCATGCTCTTTCTTACTCAAGGTGTCACTTATAGAATGTGTCAATTGTCATGCTGGTCAGTCAGCTTCAATGATAAGTTTCTTAGGATAAAACTTTATAGTAGTTTCCCACGATTCCACGATGAATTTGGTTTCTTTGAACTCCAACGTAAACCTTCTGTCTGTTCACAGAGCATAAATGGAATATCCTGGCCGTCCAAGCAAAATGTAAGCTTCAAACAAGACGCGTGTCTGGTCACGTTCAGCAAGAGAACCAAGGAGCATATATCAGCACAGACAGACTGTCTACTGGCATACGTCACAGATGGGATCAAATTCCCCATCAAACAAACCTTTCTGATTGATTCCCAAGACGCGCTGAAAGAGTGTCCTCGAGCTAAAGTCTATCTGGTGTTTGTTGATTGCCAAGCTTTGAATGTAAATGATGCTGCTGTGGTTAGGGACGCTGCTGATGCTAATGCTGGCTCCTGTGGTGGTGGTGGTGATACTGGCAGTAACGATGCAGAATCAAGGAAGGAGCATGAACAGGATTTTGATTTCCAGATGACGTCATTAAGACTCCTTCATTTATCTGGTGGTAAGTATAATATAAAGAAGTTTCAAAACTTAAGGTTTGTCTGATGAATCTGTTCTTTCTTTTTTCACCGAGCTTTTCCAGCTCATGTGGATATTCTTCATCATCATCTGCATCTTATCACTATAGGAACATTAGCAATAAAGACTTTGCCAGCGTAGTTTAAAAGAGAGATACCGGCAGTATTAAATACAGTCGGCCGTGACCGGTACCTCCTGCTTCCTGTGTTGTGTGGAAGCTGTTCAGCAGTTCTGGAATATCATCTCCAGAGCACAGACCTTGACATGTTGAAATGGAGTACAGGCTATTGCCCAGGCAGCAGCCCCCCCCCCTCCCCCCCCCCACCTCCCGTTCCACCACACCCCGCTAAGTCGCTGGTGATACCAAGGGAAGTGCAAGTGCCAATACAGCTTGGCACCGAAGAGATTGTAGGAATTGCTGAAGCAGCAGGGTAAACACTGTTGAACTGCCTTAGGAGTTCCAGCTCCAGATTTTTTCTTGGGGTTTACTCCCGAAGTGCTTTTCCTAAATCAGGTATTGCCACTAGGCAGTGAGCATTTAACATCAGAGTTCTTCTCCTCCTATGTGAGCTGCACGCTGTGTTGACGAGCCTTACCCACTGGAAGCATCTGGTTATAGAGCCATGAATTAGAAGAAAAAAAAAAAATAAAATGGCAAATCCAAGAAGCACTGTCAGGTGTAAAAAGTAAAGGACCTTTTTCCACGCCTTTCGAGGTACTTAGCATATAGAGCTAGACCCATATTTTTTAGACCTGGCACTCTACCTGGTACCCATTTGAAACTGGGTCAAGCTGGGAGAATCTAGCCACTACACCACGCCGCCTCCTCTGTTCCACTGTATAACAGTTAAATTGGAAGAACATTACAGTTATGGTGTATCTAGCAGACTTATGTGTTTGGATTAGTTTATTATACCCAGTGATATAACATTTATTTACATTTGAAAACAAATCTTCTCCAGCTCACGTAATCCTGGTGCTGATGAATGAATACGGTTCACAACAACTTGCTGACCATGCCCTATACAACCCCAACTTACCTCTCTTCCAGTCCTACGATATTCTACAAGAACTGGCCTCCAGTGGTCACGTACTCAGCATATGGAAGGATTTCAGCCCACATCAGCTCAGCTATGTCAAAAAGATTGGCCGTGCAGGTTTCAATATTAAGGGGAAATGATTTGCTCGATAAACAAACTATTTGCTGTTGGGATAAACATAAACTAAAATGTTTTTTTATGAATGTGATCGAAAAATGTCTTTCGTTACCAGGTATTTGTTTTGCTTTTGCAATAAACGTGTATAAGTAGAAAAAACAGTCATACAAGTCATATTTTTACTGTGTGTTTGCCCTTAAAAGGGTGGTTAGCACATTGTGGTTTACAGCTAGGTTGTGATGTCTGTATTTTTCGGCCCAAAAACATCAAATTTTAGCGAAACCGTAATTATGTTTTTTTTAACGAAATGTTTAGAGACAGTAGGTTCCCCTCTTTCCGTTTATAGTAAAAGTAAAGTAAAGGACCATTTTCCATGCCTTTAGAGATACGGGGCATAAAGGACTAGACCTATATTTGAATACACCAGTCGGCACCGGTGGATGACTTGGACAACATCATGCTGGAGGGTGTAAAGTACTAGATCTGAATTTCATAGAGCAATTAGTACTACATGGATGACAAGGTCAGCATCATGCGGGACGGTGTAAAGTACTAGACCTGTATTTCTTGACCAATCACTACTCCCTGAGTGTTATAAGCAGCAACATGTGGGAGAGTGTAAAGTACTAGACCTGTATTTCATAGACCAATCAGTACTCCCTAGGTGTTATGGGCAGCAACATGCGGGACGGTGTAAAGTACTAGACCTGTATTTCATAGAAAAATCAGTACTCCCTAGGTGTTATGGGCAGCAACATGTGGGACGGTGTAAAGTACTAGACCTGTATTTCATAGACCAATCAGTACTCCCTAGGTGTTATGGGCGGCAACATGCGGGAGAGTGTAAAGTACTAGACCTGTATTTCATAGACCAATCAGTACTCCCTGGGTGTTATGGGCAGCAACATGCGGGAGAGTGTAAAGTACTGGACCTGTATTTCATAGACCAATCAGTACTTCCTAGGTGTTATGGGCTGCAACATGCAGGAGAGTGTAAAGTACTAGACCTGTATTTCATAGACCAATCAGTAGTCCCTAGGTGTTAAGGGCAGCATGATGCGGGATGGTGTAAAGTACTAGACCTGTATTTCATAGACCAATCAGTACTGCTTGGGTGTTATCGGCAGCAACATGCCGGCTGCTTTACTGCATATGACTCAGGCCCTCAGTCCCTTTTTGGGATAAGTGAACCTGGGAGCCAATGATGTTTTTAGACAAAATCTCTAGAAGAAGAGGAAAGGCACCAAAATACATTTTTAATCATGGGGTGTTTTATAGCTATCCGCGAGGTCGAATCTCTAGACCAATAAGAAGAAAGTCGTGAATTTCTCTGCTTCTTTGATGACATCACATTGCAACAACAACAAAAAACAGTTACAACTGTTCATTAGTCATTAACTTTTTCAGTCCCAGCAGAGGCCCAAGGAATAGTACAGAGAAATGTGTATAATTGGCACATCTTGCATTTACTGAACTTTGAGGTAGAAACCTATGAAAGTATGATGCATTCTTTGGGACTGAAAGAGTCTACAATCAGGAAAGGGTGTTTCTCTACATCAAGGACAGTAATCACTAAATACAAACGGAGCTGAGAATTAAACTGATTTTTTTCCCTTTGACCATTAAAATTAAAAAGTTGTGTAGGTTACTTTACCAGAGAGAGCAATGTTACGTAATGAAATTATAAAACATCATGGTGAGCCCACAGTTTAAAAAGAATCTATTTTTGCAAACCCAGACCCCAAGGAGGGAATGTAACATACCCATTATATCTACAGAATATGGGTCTAACACTGTATGCTTCATGGCGTGAGAAGCATCCTTCACTGAAAACTAGTCATGTCAGCAGGTCCTCTACAGGAGGTTGCTCTTGTCAATACACACCTGAAACTCTCTCTTCCTCTAGCCAATTCTCCAGGTACTTTCACAGCCAATACATCTTCAATGTCTTGTATCCACTTTCACTCAGGTCTGCCTCTACCTCATTTTCTAGAAATTGTACACTCCATCAGCACTCCCCCCAGGCCACCATGAACTTTAAATGGTCAGAATGCCTCAGCTTTCAGGACAGAATGCTGTTTATAACCCAATTTTCCTCATTGCTCAGATCACACAGGGTGTTTCTTCTTCTTTTTGGTCTAGAGTATTCTAACAATCTTTCTGTAGCATTATATAGCATTACAGTTCAAAACTCTCCCTAATGATGAGTCCATGACTCACATCCATAAATTGCTACAGACAAGATGCATGATCTCAAAATGTTTACTCACCTGCAAGCACTGTGCCGTAGCTTACAACTAACACCCCATCAATTTCATTTTAATAATTTAATACCTGCCAATTATACATGTGCCAAAGACAGTACTGTCCCTGTCCTTGCTAGCTTCATGTTAGTTTTCATTTTATACTTATTTTTATTTGTATTGTCTTTATGTTATTTCTTTGATACCAAAAGTGTATTGAGTTTATGTAATATTGTAAATAAATGTTTAGAATGCACTTGACAGCAAACATGCTGAATATTAATAAACATTTAAGTAACAAAGACTAACTGTGATATTTGTTTTATGTATTCGGGGTATATTTTTTAACGATCTTAATATAGTAGGGGACAGGCTAGTAAACATATTGTTTCTCTTACAGTGAAATTATCATCCTGATCAAGTGATGATGAACGACGGCTCGGGTGATCATGCCCCACACTAACCTGTGATCTTCAAAAGCATGCATCATGTTCATGTGCAGTGAAATTTATACAAGAGACAAAACTGCTGATATAGACAACTTATTTCAGGCGAAAGAAGAAGAATGTGCTGATGCACCTCCTTGCCATGATAAAGCGTGTTAACAATCTTTTTGCCTTGTCTTCCATTGTCTCTTTTTCCATAGATCTTTCTAGTGGTCACAATGTGTTCTAGTTTCTACTCATAACGTGACCACAAAATGATGGACTGTCTCTTTCTTTTATCTTTTTCAATCCTTCTGTCAGAAAACATATATCAGGAGACTGATAACCTTTAAGAAAGTTGTGATGCAGTCTATATCATCTTGTGTACCATACAGTTGTTTCTTTTTTATGGTTGGAACAGGCCAGATTATGTCTCTGTTGTCAGTGTACAGGTGACAGTGTTGGAGCATAGGCTCAGCATTTTCATGTGCCATGCTGCAGGGACACATCTCAGTATTTTGTACACGGAAAAGTTTGAACATTTGTTGACAAAGTCTGTTGTGTCCTGTCCTTAGTCTGAATATAATACACTGTGCATCTCTAGAAAGGCAATGAATAGAATCTTGAAAAGAGAATTTGGTGTGTATCCAGCCACCTTTCTTGGATACTAGATAGTATGATTGTCTTATCAAAAGAGAAAGCATACAGAGGTACCTGGGTATCACTTTCGATAGAAGCCTGTCCAATAGGAATCACGTGGAGGCAGTTGCGGTGAAATGCCAAAAAAAGACAGTGCTCTCAAGATTATGGCAGCAATGGACATGGAACAAAGAATGCTGTTCACAATGTTCCAGCAAGTGATCCTGTCAGTGATAGATTATGGAATTCGAATGCTTACCATATCAAACAGTCAGCTGATGAAACCTGAATACATACAGAATGAAGCCATGTGGGTAATTCTGGGATGAACAATAAATACCCCAGTAGTATGTAAGCAATATATACTTGCACTGCCTACTAATGCAGATAGGCTCAAAGTTCTGCAAGCAAAGTTATACCATCTCTTGCATAAAGCCCTGGGTAGATCTAAGGGTCACAGACTGAAAAGAGGAAGGTTTTGGATGGCGCAACCTGAAGATACACAATCAGACGTGTGCAGGCTCTTTAAATTTGTGCGAGGTGAGGGGTGAGGTCAAAGTGTCCGAGCAAGGTGTGCAGGGTTATCACTTTAGGTCGTGAGTGCAGGGACTGGCCAGCTGGCGCTGCAGAATCAGAAGTTTAACAAATGATTCATGATAATTCCGCCCAAGTGATGTGGTTATACAGATGGCTCTGTGTTAAGGGGCAGATGATGTGCATGGGGGTTTCTAGCAAAGGTGAAAGGACATCACTTAGTGCAACAAAGTTTGGCATGTTTGAGAATGGAGGTGGAGGCAGTCACTGCTGCCTTCTGCTGGCTTGACAATCAGCTGTAACGGATGCCGTGATTGTCACTGTCTCACAAATCATGCTGAGAAAGGTGGAGACAGGTATACTCCATGCAGAGTGGCAAGCATCACTTCAGAGGTCCCGGGTAGTTAGTATCCTTTGAATATTCTCTCCAAGTCATGCCGGTGTGTTAGGAGATGAGCAGGCAGATAGACTGGCCCTTCTGCACCACTTGGTGGTAAATTGATGTATGACAAGCTCGATGTTGTGGGGCCCTCTGGGAGCGAATGAACAGTGCCGAAGCGCAAACAGATCATTATGGTCTGAGGAGAATTGCGCAGGGAATCTGGCTGATGCTCAACATTCAAGGGAAGGGCGAGACGGATATACAATCAGACAGTTACTGGTGCCATCGGAATTGGAACTCTTTGCTGCTAAAAATGGGGACAGAGCGCTTATGGGGGTGTCCCGCGTGCTATGATGTTGATTCTAAATTCAAAATTCTGTCTTAGTCTCTTGGTGGGTTACTATTTGGTTGTACCATGTAACAGAGTAACTACTGCTTCTTGCCAAACTGTTCACTTTTTCATTGCATTCCAAGCCACAGTAACCTGGAATCCACAGCATTACAGACTGTTCTACTGAAGAACCTAGGTGAATCAGCTGTTGCGTCAAGTCTACAAACTGAGTGTCTTTTGGGTAAAAAATTGCTTGTAGAACTGATTTAGAATTAGTCAAAAAGACCACTCTGCTATATTTGTTGTGCTTTGGTCCATTCAGGAAAGAACATGCCACCAGAAGTGCATCTGCCTCTGCTCTGTAATTGGAAGAATATGAACCTGTTGATATGCTTGGTTGATTTTTAAACCATTTGGGCATTCAATGTATACTCCTCCTCCTCCTCCATCTCTTACTGCTCTCTTGGCTGAACCATGACCGGCTCCAGCTGATGTGCCATGCTGCTGACATCACTGGCTCAGGCTAACAAAGGGTTAACACAGCGGTTCTCAAACAATAAATAAACTATCTTTGACAGTGGCGAGAGAAGACAACTTAAATGTTAACATCTAAGTATCTATATGCCTTCTTTATTAATTTTACAATTTTTAGTCGACTTTTCTTGATTTTTGCACCCAGTTTATGAACCATTGTGTTAGCGCATCGATAGCCTGACCCAGTGACGTCAGCTGGAGCCAGTCCTGGCTGAACCATCTGTGTCTCTGATTTTTGTGTGATGTTGTCTTTAGACCTTGACCTCTTTTAATACATCCAGGCTGCTCTTTTTTTTTTTGCTTTGCTTTAAATTTTAAGGATTCTTTGGTAAAACCATCTCTGAAAGCTCTAGAAATTGTAGAGCTTGTTTATTAACTGTCAAGATTTCTTAGCTATATGTTAAAACTGGTTCTATACAGCATACAAGAATTCTTTATCTAACCTCCAATGACATGGATTTTGCCTGTCACATTCTGTTCTTTATCTCTGTTATACATTTTCTTTATTATGTTATCAAAGTGCCTAGATACTAAAATTTCTGTAAACTGAAATACTTCTGCCATGTTAAATGCCACTGGTTTGGAGAGAATGGTAATGGAGGGTAAGAGAAGGCAGGGAATGACCAGTACAACAGCAGACACAGGATACCAAGGATACCCTCAGCATGTAGGTTAATGAGGTAGGAAAGCTGGCAAAGAACTGAGTGGCTTTCAGCATACCATGAGAGCAACATCTGCAAAGCACAAGCTACATGATTACGATGATGATGATTAGTTGCATCATTCATATATGACCCCACCATTCACCTCAGTGAAGGACTGACGACACAGCATTGTTTGTATGTGACATATCCTGGCTGTGCCAGCTACTGCTGACAGATATAGAATACTGCAAGCTGGGTACTGTCTCAGAGTTGCAAGTGATGCAGAACATATCCTAGGGAATTAGGCACTGTTCAGGGTAACAAACTTAAGATAAGACAGATCCTAGATAGCCCAGACTGAAAAGACAACCAACAGGGACTACAATATTAAAGAGATTAGCTGAGCAGATGAATGGGTAAAAGCACTGAAGGGTAGAGATGAGCCACATACTGTGCTAATAATCTTGGTACAGGAGCACAGGGAATGGATGCTTGTTCTTTCAAGCACGGAGGTTCAACAGCTGACAGAGGACAACTTCAGGCCAAGAGTGCTGTGAAAATGACTCTACTCTGATAACCCCAGAAATCACTGGTGACAGTCACTGGAGCTACAGAGTGTGTGCACTATGTAGCCCTTTAAAATGAGTGGGTGTGGGCCCCATGGGATAAAAAATGAAGTTGATCCTTTCAAACATACACAACATTATTCAAAGAGAAAAAATGACTATAGTTTATTATAAATATATCAACATACAAAACAAATACAAAAAACACTGGTCCACATAAAGCGCAGTGTTGAAAAAAATAATAACAAAGCCTTCCATAAAACAAATCAAACATACTTCTGGCAAATAAATGTCTTGTACTCTTAAAAGTGTACTCTTATTTTGTAAAAAGAAGAACCATTCTCAAGATGGCAGTTCTGCTGCTGTCTGGTCTCTCATCACTGCTTTGTGCAGGCAGAGTCAAAAGGAAGCTGTCACATTTTACCCAAATTAAAAGTGTGGCTTACAGTGCTTCTCTTCAGTGATCAATGTTCGCTAAGCATATATTCTGCCAAGGGCAACAATCAGGATCATGTGATTGTGGGCTTCACCGGTGTTCCATCTTTGTCTTGACAAGTCACTTTTCAGCAACAGATTGTTTTTTTTGTTTACGTTTTTTTTGTGTGTTAAACTGATAGTACCGTGGATATCTTATATTTCTTTGGATCTCATAATTAAAACAAAAAACATTGTCTTTCAGGCTTGTGTTCTCAGCACTCTCCTTTATGGCAGTGAAACTTGGTCAATCTATTTGCACCAGGAAAGATGGCTAAATAGCTTTCACATGCGATGCCTAAGAAGAATACTTGGCATTAAGTGGCAGGAGAAAATCACAAACACTTAGGTACTGGAAAGTGCAGGTATTACAACAGTCTTTTCCATGCCCAGTCTACATACAAAGGCTCAGATGGCTGGGTCACACCTGGAAAATGGAGGATGGTAGAGTCCCTAAGGACATCCTTTATGGTGAATTAAAGACAGGAAAAAGATGTCAAGGCAGACCTCTACTACGTTATAAAGATGTGTGTGAGCAGGACATGAATGATACAGGTATTGAGGTGGACTCAAGGGAACAAAATGCAATGGACTGTGTTGTGTGGAAAGGGCATATCAGGAAGGGAATGAGAGTGAAGGAAGAAATGATTTCAGAAAGGATGAGAGCTGAGCATCTTAAAAAAAACCGGATTAAACACAAATGTTGACAACAATGGTCCTGAAATCCCATGCTATCATTGTGGAAGACTTTTCTTGACACGGGCGGGTTTTGCTAGTCACACTCGCCATCGCCATGGGCTGTGAGTCTCATGTCTCCTCAAAGCGCCTTATAACACTATCATCTGGAAAGACGGAAAGGTGCCAATCAATCTTTGGATCTCAGTTAAAAAGATTATTGCATTTCTTCATCTTGTTTAGTTCTGAGTAATCACCTGATGATATACTGTGAAATATGTTGGGCAATCCCCCCGGTTCCGGTTCAGGGCCTCCTTGGGGGAGGAAGAAGGGCATGCAAACAAATCCAGTGCCCTCTACAAAAAGTTAAAAGCATCTCATAAAAGGTGAATAATGAGATGTTTGCTGAGACTGGATGTGCTCGGCTGACTGAAAGATGCAGACCCCAGCCTAGCTGTAAACTAACACTTAATGTGCCTAACACCTTTTTAAATATGAATGCAGAAGAAGTCAGGCAAACAACTGCAATCTACTGGTTATGTCTTCTCTGTTTAAAATTTAAAATGTGGTCTTTTTCTTTTTTAAACTGCCTCTTTACCATATCCTCTGTTTAAAAAAAAAAAAAAAAAAAACTAAATTTGCACTGATAATTCTCAACAAGAAACCGCAAAATATCATAGGCAATAATTTGTGAAAACTACTGTTTGCATCTTCTTTGTACCTAGCTAAAGGCGTATTCTGTTTTAAAACAGTCCCTTTACCATATCTTTTATTCCTAAAAGTTAAAATTCTGCTGCCCTACTCCAAAAATAAATGGAAAAATGTGTTAGACAATAAAACACTACAATCTGTGATTTGTCTTCTTAGTTCAAAATGAGAAACAATCTGCCTTGCACTAGTCCCTTCATCATGTTCTTTGTTCTTAAAAATTAAAATTCCACTCTCCACCCCACGAGAAATAGTTTTTAAAAAATGTCAGGTGATTAACTGCCTAATCTGTTATTGGTGTCCCTTAGTTCAAAATTAAAGATGTATTCCGTCTGTCAACAGTCGCTTTTTCATTTCGTCTGTTCTGAAAGTTAAAATCCTGTTGCCGTACTTCCAACAAGAAACAGCAATATATGGCAGGCAAATAACACTGCAGTTTGAAATGTTGTCTCCTTTCTTAAAAATTAAAGACATAGCCTGTCTTTCAACAAACTCTTTACCATGATCTTTGTTTTTAAAAGATAAAATGACAGTTTCCTAATCCCAACACACGTCATCCTTTTTGAGAGTTTTCTGTATCTGTTTCATATCCCTGAGCATGAACAGTGCAGGTTTACCCAGTGCAGACTGCCCGATTGGCTTGTTACAACTATGAGGTTTTGGTTTGGCTATGTTACTAGTATGAGCATGGTATTGGCTATGTTTTACGGGTGCTGATTGAGGTCTTTTTGATTTTTCACTCCTTTTCACTGGTTGTGGTTGAATCTTTTTGATTTCATCCACCTGTAAATAATAAAATACAAGTAACATTAGGAATGAGAATTAATCTGAAATTTGAAAAGCAGCTTGATAAATGAAAGACATAGTTAAGTGTGTATTCTCTATAAGACATTACAGTATCAATCACATAATTTTTTGGCTGTTTGGATTTATTAGACAAATTTATGTTCACCTACTGACAGTAGTTTGCCATTGCTCTCAGAATGGTCTGCTCTCAATACCATTGTCAAAATTAATGCATAGCAGTCTGCTCCCAAATCTGCTGCAGCTGGAATCAAACTAAGTATCTTGGAATTACAAAGTGCATTTGCAACACCTAGGCCACGGACGTTAATTTAGACAAAGACAGAGACACATCACAAACATCAGCGTGCTGCACTGTTCATAAATCACATGATGGGAAGTCAATTTCTCTCTTTCATTCCATCCTGCGTATTCTTGCCAATATCTTAGTTAGTATCTGCTCCTGCCCCTGAGGCCTTTAACAACAAAGTTCATCTTAGACATCCTTGCTTCCTTAGTCCATTTTAGTGCCTGTTTTTTGCTTCTTTGTCTTTTCAATCGAGATGTAATATCCAACAAAGCTTTATCTAATATTTTTAGAATTAAGCAACTGTCTTCCACATCTTTTTCTGGCTAGTATTCATTTCCTGTTTAGGTTCATTTCCTCTATCAACAAGTGCCTCAGAACTTAAACTGGCCGGGCAGGCATGTGGATTTTTCTTGGGCATACCTCAGTTAAGTGATTTTATGTAGTCTAGTTTGTAAATATAACACTGTCAATTCATACCATGTGCCGATGAAGGTTTTCTAGCCGCAGCATTCACTTGTAATTTGTGGTTGTGGTAATGTAAAGCTGAGTAATTCTACTTTTCATTTAGTTTGATATTTTGTTATCTCAATGCTGATAGAGATGTTTGACGATCTCTCTGGCACACCTCTACACCCCAAGGTAGAAGAGGAGCGACTAAGTAAAAAAAAGTAAGTACTAAGTCATCTCAAAATGTGCCCAGTATATCGCACACATCATTCAAGCTGGTTTTTATTTTTGGTAACAAACATAAAGTTATAATTATCAGTTTGACAGAGTACAACCAAAATGAGAGACAGAACAGACAGTGTCAGAGATATGTTGCAGCCAAGTTTTATTATGGAGACAAAATCTGATTGACTGGATGGACAAAGAATAATTGGTGCAAACCTTTTTGTGGTGGTGCCTGATCCTTGATATCTGCTGACTTTTAATTTTCATACTCTGTACGAGACTGTCCAGCTCTTCCTCCAACATTCTCTTGACCCCCGGATCTTTGGTCACCTGCAGCTGATCCACAAGCTCCTGGTGCTTGCTGTGGAGAGACGTGTGCCTTTTGTAAATATCATGGACATCTGCAGAGGCAAGGTTCTGAAAACTCTTGCAAAGGTTAAATAGCATCAAGAACAACTGGAAGAAAAGAATAGCAATGTGCACAGCATATTAGAAAGAGCAAATGAAGATCTTTATATCTCTTCCAAAATACTTCAAATTAGTGACTTGAGGAGCAGAAGATATATTCTTTGAAAACAGAACCATCAAACCGCTAATTTCACAGTCCATGATCCATATGACTTTGGGGTTTTTTTCTGGGTCACTGGGGCAAAAAGATTCTGGGTCTATGCTAAACTAGGAGACTGAAAATAAAAGATTACTACTTTTATTTTGTAATTTTCAGTAAAGAAATCTTTCTGTAATCATCACCAATCAGCGGGTTTTTTAGAATGTTGCTCTCTTCCCGGCTTGCCTGAAAGTCTGCGTCTCTAGCCAATTGCCCTGCCCCATGTGCTTTCATAGCCAGTGCTTCGGTGTCTTGTATCTAATTCTGTGAAGGTGGGCCTCTGCCTAGTTTTACAGAAACTGTACCCTCCAACACATTTGTTTCTCCAGGGGACCATGACCTTTAACTTAGCCAAAATACCTCAGCTTGTGAGACAGAATAGTGTTTAAGAGTCAGTTTTCCTTGATGTTCTGACCATGTAGGATGTTTTTCTTCTTCTTGGTCCCTGATATTCTTAGAATTCTTTAAGTAATAAAGGATTCACTTCTTTCTGCTGTGTACAATTCTTACTAGATAACGACTTCATAAACATTTTGTTCTGCTGCAAAGGATGGGCTACACAAATAACAAAAATGTTTAAATCTTCAACAGTTCTGGCTGAATTACATAAACACACCTGCACAAATGTCCAAATTCATCTTGTAACTGAATCATAAGGTCACTTAGATCATGATCAACACTTGCTGCACTTGAAGCAGTTGAAGAGGCACTCTCTGATCTTTGAACATCTCCAGCTGATGGCACGTGCGAGCAAAGGGCAGCATTGTGTTGTTTCATCATGGCCAGGACTTTTTGTACATTGGCTCCTAAAGCATGGCTAGGACCTGTAGACTGGCACCAAAGAAAATCTTAGACTTAATCAAATAAAATAAAACAGCCAATTGTTTCTCTTAAAGTTTTCCAGTTCTTAAGTATGCCAGCTGTCATTAAGGTCGTCAAATATCAAGTTAATCAGTGTGATGATTCTGTTGTTACTTTCTAGTTAGACATCTAGAAGACACTGGTGTCCTCTCATCCACTTGTTAGATACACACCTACATTGATTAGACACCAATTGAATGTTCTATTACTTTACTGTGGTTCCGACAAAAGTATTGTCTAGTTGCTGTCTTTTGTTCTCACTCGTCATTTTAGGATCAATCATCAATCGTTACATTACATGCACACTGTGCTCAACATGTTGTTACCTTGCATTCCATGCATTCTATTTATACGAAGGACAGGTGAAGGACTTGCATCTCCAACACAGTGCATCAATTTAAAATAGCATCTGCTCAGCCATTCCTGCTCAGATATAAGGAACTTCTCAACGCTGTCAACAGGCACACTGGATAACACGTCATTTATCTCGCAGAACTGGATCCTTCACTCCAGCTGTCAAACACCAACTGATTCTACCTACTTTCTCACCTTCAAACCCCTGCTCATGCCCTATGGGTTTTTCACTTGTAACTGTTCATCCAAGCATGGAATTTGTGCACGTCTCTCTCTCTCTCTCTCTCTCTCTCTCTCTTTTTTAACTGCCCCTTAACTCTATTTCATCATTGGGGACCCTTGGGGATTTCCACCTCCTCACTACAATCAGCTGCTTTTAATTTTTACCAGTTGTCATCAAATTCATCACTTGTCATCAAGTCTGCCAGTTATCAAGTTTACTACATTGTCGTCAGGTTCACCATTTTATCATCATGTTCATCAGTTTGTATCAAGTTCACTGCTTGTCATCAAATATATCAGTTGTCATGAAGTATTTCAGCTGTTATCAAGTTCACTATTTGTCATCAAGTATACCAGTCATCATCAAGCATATAAAAAATAACAAAAAAATGACAATCAACATGCTTTACAGAGAGACCTAAACACACTTCAGCAAACCAAGGTGTGAAGAAAAGTCACCGGCATCAGAAGGGAGACGCACTGCAAACACTTGATAATAGTCAACTAGAATGTCTCTTCACTGAAACCAAAAAGGCAAATGAGGCAGACAGAGATTAAAAAATATTTGAATAAGAAACTTCAGGAAATAACAATCAAAATTTAGAGGACATAAAGAAAGCTGAAAGAGATGCCATAAGACAGGATGGCTTGGAGGGAATTGATTGAAGGCCTTATCCTCCAATGGGGGATTCAGGAAAGAAAAAAGTGTGGAGGAGGAGAAGAAGAAGAAGAAAATAATAAGAAGAAGAAAATAAAAGTTAACTACCTTCCCAGCCACAAAAGGGATCTCTGCCAAATTGAGTCTGTAATGTCTCATAGGTTGTCCTCTACAAATCCCCACAGCAGGATCACCACCTCGGGCAACCTTTTTCTTCTTCTTTGTTGGTTTCTTTGTCTTCAGTGTCTGAGTGGGCACTGCCTTAACACTTTTTTGTGTGGGCATAGTCGGCATTTGATAGCTGGTTGGCATCTGGTAACTGGTTGGCATTTGATGGCTGGTTGGCATCTGGTAACTGGTTGGTATTTGATGGCTTGTTGGCATCTGGTAACTGGTTGGTATTTGATGGCTGGTTGGCATTTTGTCATAGTGGGTTTCTGACTCCAACTAGTAGAATAAAAGTTACAGAGTGATGTGTTTGAGAAAAATATATATTTTTTTAACAGAATTTTTAAAAAGCCAAACTTCACTGTGGAGATGGAATCCAATTTTGAATTTCTTCTTCCTGTGATTATTTCCTTGATTTAAATAGACAAAATCAATTAAGATAAAACTGACCTCTTTTGGAGCTCCTCTTTAGTCCAATATGGCTTTTATATAGTGATGACTCAATGGGCGAGAATTCCCTTATTAATGGGTTGTATAAGTGACGATCTTGCAGGACAATTATATGATTTATGGCTAATGCTGTGGCAACTTTTTAAAAAAATTAGTAACCACAGAAATGAGATGTCTGAGAAGGGCTGGAGGAGTGACCATAAGAGATAAGATCAGGAATGAGATCATAAGAGAAAAAGTTGGCACAGAACCTATTCTGGATTGCATACAAAGACAGCAAGTGAAATGGTTTGCCCACTTAGAGAGAATGCCTTGTGACACCATACCATACAAAGAATACATAGAAATAGAAGAAGGACGTAGAGCACGAGGTAGACCAAGAACAATATGGAAGGATAACATCAGAGAAACTATACAACAGCACGATGTGCCTATGGTCGAGGCGACCAGAAGAGCTAGAAACAGAACCTTATATCTCCCTCGACACCCACAGCGGTAAAAGAGGAAGTGAAGAAGAAAAAGAAGACTGTGGCAACACAGATTTAACAAACAAGCTTATTTAGCCACCGCTACGAGTCTCAATGACAGCAACAAATCAGCAATCTTTGGCTCAAGTTAGGGCATCATGTAATACTGCAGTTTCTGATCTGCCTTCTAGCCCAATTTACTTAAGGATTTTTGGAGGCAGATCTTTAGAGGCAGAGAGTGCTCATTCCTTTGCCTCTATCCCATTTATTATTTCATCCAGTCACCTGTGGCAGTTGAGACCCCCAAACTTCTTCCACTGAATTACCATGGAGAACAAAATCCACCACATGAAGGTTAGGTAGGCTAGAACATGAGAGCTAAAATACACTAATGTTTCCTGAAAAATAACAAAGCTTAAACTAGCAGAAGTCACTGACCTACCTGTTGTGTTTTTTCTTCTAATGTTTTTCTGTGCATATTTTCCTCTTTGATCTTTTTCTCAAGGTCTCTTATCTTAGACTGAAAAAAAAAAAAAATATGCTAGCAACAGGTGAGATTACAATAAACACAGTAGTTAGTTATGCATTCTTAACAGACTTTGCAGAACCAACGCCAGCATAAGCCACTACAGGCTGAGGGACTGGACTGAATGGTTCGATGTGGGATGATGATAATCTGTCGACTAACTAACTAACTCCAGCATATTTCTTGTGTTGTTGTTGATGTTTGTGACTTCGTTAGGCAATTTTATGTCCAGTAGTTTGCCATTCCTCTGTTGAAACCAAATCAAGGTAGTCTGCTACCAAATTAGCCCAAAGCTGGAATCGAACCTACCACCCTAGAAATTAGAAAAGCATTCGCAATGGCCAAGTCACAGATGCTGTTAATAGACCTAATGCAAATGGTATGATTTGTAACATGCGGGGACAATCATGATGGTGGGCGAGGGATATGAAGGGACACATTGGGCATGAAAGTTCATAATGTGGGAAATTTGGCAAGAGACTGAGTGGCTTTCGTGTGTGCTGTGATGAGAGGGACCTTCAGCAAAGGACCTGTTTCATGATGATGAATGTAAATTTACACAAAATGGCTCATGATTTACTGGGTTCAATTTGGGCTTCACTGTCCACCTCTCAGTGGGCTCAGGGTGGCTAATGGAGCCTATGGCCATGTAAGATGATGCTGATCCATTTGCTTCATGGTCTACCTCATGCTCTATAAACAATTCCTCTGCAGGTCATACCAGACAGGCAATAAAATCCTGACATTACTAAGGAGGGCACCCACACCACTGTATTGGTTGGTAGTGCACTATTCAATCATCATCATCATCAGGTGCCTTGCCTACTGGCGTGGGCGATCATGCCTCTCCATAATCCATGATCTCCTGCAGCATGTATCAGTTCGTGTGCCGACACACCTCCATGCCATGCAACAAGACTGTCAAGAATCTTCTCTCGTTGTCTTCCTCTATCCCTCCTTCCACAGATCTTTCCGGTGGTCACAACATGTTCTATTTCCCCTTTTCTCATAACATGGCCAAAAAATGATGACTGTTTCCTTCTGATGTCTGTGATAAGTTGTCTTCTGGCTCCCGCCTCTTTCAAAACCTCTTGGTTGTTATTTTTGGCTGTCCAAGGTATTCTAAGCATTCTTCTGTAAAACCACATCTCTGAGGCCTCAAGAAATTGTTTGGCCTGCCTACCGATTGTCCAGAATTCACAGCCATATGTTAAAATTGGATGTATGTAGCAAGCAAGAATTCTTTTTCTAACTCTTAATGACAAGGATATATTTCACATTTTATAAATTGCAGTTTTTGCCTGTCCGATTCTGTTTCTTATCTCAGTTATGCATCTTCCATCTGATGTTATCCATGTGCCCAGATACTTAAATTTCTGTACTTGTCCTAAAATAACACCATCGACTTTTATTACACATTTAGGATTAATTTGTTTCTTTGATACCACCTATACTTCTGTCTTCCCATTATTCAAACTGAGGCCCATTCTTACACATTCTAACACCATTTCCTGTAGTTCTTTCTCACTTGTTGCTATCAAGACTGTGTCATCAGCATAATGTAAATTCAATACACTATTCAATACATGCATTAAAATCTGTTCTTACTGCATGCCTTTACTAACTACTTTTGCGACGTAGGTGGGGGGTCTCTCTGAACCTGAGGATTCAGGGTCGCAGGACTAGTGGCTGTCATGGACTTTGCAGGTTAGGATCACCAGGACTGTAGGATAGGATTTTATTTTTGTCCTAACAGAAAAAACATCTGCCACCTTACCAATGAGTCCAACCTGAGAGCCCTGGGTTCTTAATCATCAGGCCAGATGCTTCTCTCTTCACTTCACCATGCCGGTCTCTTTAAACTGCTGTTACCCCTAAGATAATCAGGTGCCGTCTCCACAATGAAAGTTGGCTGCAGTGCAACACACTCTGTCTCTCATCCTGGTTGCACACTCTCCGAGACTTCTTCATCCATCACTTGATGCTGTCCTCCCACATGTATTGCTGTTTACCTCATGCTCTCCTGCATTCAACATTTTTATCTCAGTATGGATTTTATAAGAGTGTTATGATGCTGGAGGACTGGCTGGCTGAGTGGTTAGAAAACTGGTCTCTCATAAAAGAGACCTGGGTCAATTAATAGATAAGATAATGGATATTTTCTCTGTGAGGATTAAAAATAAAATCCTAGTCTGACTGTTCACGATGACTGTAATAGCTATGCTTCAGTGTTCAGATTCTATGTCCTAAATGTTAGTTGTGTATCCTTTACATGACACTGCAGAATCAACCCCTAGCATTTATTTGGATGTTTGTGGTTTGAAACATTCATCAGTTTACCAGTTTAAGACTGCTACTGAATGGTCAGCTCTCGATAACAATGTTGAAATCAATGCAAGGTGGTCTACTGCCAAGTTCCCCCCCCCCCCCCCCCCCATAGCTGGGATCAAACCCGGCACCTCAGAATTACAAAGCTGCATTTTCCTAAGCCACTTTAAAAAGTGGTAAAGACAGGCAGTAAAGAGTTATGTTTTTGTCGCCAAAATATTTTCCTTGTCTTTCTTCTTTTTTTAATCGTTTATTTCAAAAACTCTTTTCATACCAAGTCTCTTCAGAACCTATCTGATTTACCTCTGCTATTGTCTGAGTTGTTGTCAGCCTCATCTGATCCTTCTCCAGCTCATTCAGTCTGTCCATATGCTGTTTAATCTCAGCTCCATTTACATCCTTTTCCTGCCTTGACTTCCCGACTTGTTCCAGCAAGTTCTGTTGATTTCTCTGGGAATTCTCCACCATTTTCCTCATCTGACTAAGCTGATCTTCTAAGCCTTGACATCGGCGCTCTGAAGAGGACAGTTGGCCTTCCAATTCTGAAACATGACAATATGAAATATGTAGAAATAGAAATGTTAAGATCTTGGTAATTTTCTATATGGATTTATTTATATATATATGTATGGCGTGGTCAAGGACATGGTTGCCAACATGCAGTTGCCCTGGTGAAACGGACGGTTGCTTGTGAATGTAGTATATGCTGTGTCTCAGCTAGAAGGATTCATTTATTTGCTTTATTTTAATCAATTGTTACTCTAGTATGCGCCTGATGAGGTACAGGGAAATATTCCAGACAATAAATTGTGCAATCTATTGTTTGTGTCTTCTTTGTTCAAATTCAAAATGGGGAAACTGCTTTGATTTTCACAATGTACACAAAAAATCTTATACTTAATTTCTTAGTGACCTGTTTAAAATGGGGTTTTTAAAGTTTTTTTTTTAAATTTGGGAAAATGGAAGAAAAAAAAGGAGGGTGGATCTGGTCTTGAAATGCTAAGGCTTGTCAGTAAAGTAGTCTTTCATAAGTAAAACACTGAAAGAACTCTGAATGGATTGAATTACTTGAATATATGGACCTGAAACAAAACACACAGCATAAGATGAGCAGCCGGCCAAGTTGTTGAGAACGCTGCGCTCTGATTCAGAGACCTGGTTCAAATCCTCGGTAAGGTGAGGCACTAGCCATGCAGCAAAAATCTTACAATTCTGCGTCCGCAAAGTGGTAAATACAGACAGTAAAGGGTTTAAAGATGTGTGACACTGATAAACATCTTATTTTAAACGTGCCATTAGAAAAAACATTAAAGATCATATGTAAACAAACACAAGATATCAAACTTAAGATGGACTTCCTAAAGTCTACACTGTTGAAAATGTCCCAGCTACACATAATTAATACTAAACTCAATTTCCTCACAAACAAAAAGAAACTGCTAACAAATGAATGGAGCAGAGAAAATAAGCAGCATTTAAGACAACACCTGCATGGCATTGACCAAAAAACACACAGAGAAAGGAACTAAAAAGAAGTTAAACAGATGGGGAGGATCTGGGGTAAGCTACTTAGGTTGTGTTGGTTCAGGGCTATGATCCTGTGGGAAATAAAAGGCAAAAGAAGTAAAAAGAATACTCTGTTCTCTACCGCCAATGTAGAGATGGATATTTAACTCTTTAAATACTTTTCACCAGTATACTGGCGAATGAATTTATCCCTACTGGACTAATCGCCAGTATACTGGCGTATCATAGAGACACTCTAATTTTGTTCCATTTGTGGGGAAAAAAGGACATTTTATGAACAAGTTTTTGAACAACTGGGATTAACAAGAGGAAGTCCTTTCATTTGCTAAATTCACGGTGGCTGGTGCATTGAATTGTTATTTTTTTTTAGATTATTTAGAAGGGATACAATTTTTACGTGATTTTTCTATACTTAATTATAAAGGAAAAGGTCTAGAAATGTTTATACTGCTCTGTCGTTAATGAATCTCTGCCAGATGGTGACAACAATCTTGATATTATCATTTATACCTAAAAGACAAACTTATTGGTGATAATTTAGTTTAGGATATGAAAACTGAACAAAATATTTCAATCCGATCAATGTTTTCATCAGCTATTTTCCCGATATTCGGTTGTCAAATGTGACATGTCATACAAAAATTATCATAACTTCCAAAGTATTTAAATTAATTGTTTCAAATAAAGACTAGCTGATACATAATCGAACAGAAAAGGCATGTGCATTCTTAAAATTGGATAGCAGTGTTGCTGAACAAGTAAAAAATTAAGGTGAGCACGACATTTTGTATTTCAAGATTCTTCATCCTTGAATTTTGTGTGATTTTAATATTTTGTTGTAATACTGACATTCAAATAGTTTAGATTTATCCTGCACTCATTTATCTTTGATTTGAGATATTATATGTCCCGATACAGCCAATAGCTTTGTCGTGTTGCAGTAAACAAATTCCGCTCAAAAATAATGCTGCCCAAACCCCAGAAAAAAAATGTGGTATTGAAAGAGTTCATAATAAGCAAAGATAAACATAAAGCAAGCTCATTCTGTGCCATGGTGAACTACATACAACTGTAATTCTTCCGTAGGACATCATCTGCTGGACTTTGGGCTAATGTTTATAGGGAATGTGCCTTCAGAGTTTTTTATACCTAGCGAATGAGTGTTTATTAAAATTGACGTTGCGAAAATAAAAAGACCACATGGTTAACCTTATACTTTCATGGTAAATGTAGTGTACATAGACTTCTCAAAATATTGTACAGTGTGATTTGTAAATTGCAGTTAAAGGAGTTCATATTTTATACTTCAGTAAATGTTTATGTAAACTCTGTAGTAGTACACCTGAAGAAAAACAACAAAATATGCCAGGAAATAAACTGTGCATTATGTAGTTTGTTCGTCATCATGTAAATTAATAAAAACAAATTAAATCTTACTTCTGGTCTGGGTTAAAAACTTGTCTCCATGATCATCTGTCTGCTTGTCTTGAAGGGTCCGTTTACTCTGTGCCAGTTTTTTCTCATGTGGAACTGTTTGTGGTCCAGTTTCTGATGCCAAGGTCTGCAGACTCTTTTCTGCTGTTGTCCTTTCTATTTCCAGCTCTTTGATTTTATCCTGCAGGTTTCTTAATGCAGTTATGATAGCTGTAACGATTTAATATGAAAATAATAATAACGATAATAATATGCAATGTGATAATAATAATAACAACAATAATAATAAGGATATCATCTATGGTGAATTAGAGATGGGAGGAAAACAATTAGGCTTCTACTATTAGGATATAAAGATGTGTGTGAATGTTTGATCTGAATGAGGTATTGAGATGGACTCATTGGAATAGGATGCCATCGATGATGAGGACAGACTGAGGAAACAAGCAGACATGGTGTATTATAACTCATCACTGCTGGTGTGTCACTGGGTTCCTTACAGGAAGCAAAGAGTATGCCTCGTTTTTGCCTCAGCTTTTGACAGCTGTAAACTGGTAGAAGATTCCAGTTGTTCATCCACTTCTGGACTTTGGCCTTGTTCCTTCTTCTTCATCTCTGCATTCATCGGCTGTGAATTCTGATGGAAAGTTAGGAATGCTATTGATGAACTGGCTTCAGAGACAGCCCCAGGTAGAGACAGAATTCCTATTGAGAACATCAGGAGTGGTAAAGACATTCTAACCCCACACAAGCATCAGCTAATAACACTCTGCTGGCGAGAGGGACAGGTTCCGCAAGATCTCAAAGACGCAAACATCAAAACTATGTACAAGAACAAGGATGATCGGAGTGACTGCAATAACTACAGGGGAATACCATTGCTGTGTACTGTTGAAAAAGTACTTGTGAGAATTGTTCTGCGAAGACTCCAGATCCTAGGAGATCATGTTTGCCTAGAGTGGCTTTTACGGGAACTGGTCTACCACTGATATATTTTCATTACGACAGTTGCAGGAAAAATGCTGTGAACAAAACCAAGCACTGTATGTTGCTTTTATTGATCGTACCAAAGCATTTGAAAAGGTCCGTTCAACATATTAAAGAAGATTGGGTGTTCACCTACCCCACTGAGCATTATTGAGTCGTTCCACACAGGTATGAAAGGTACAATCAACTTTGATGGTGTAACATCAGAGGATTGTGTAATTAGCATTGGAGTGAAGCAGGGATGCGTGCTTGCTCCCACTCTTTTTGGAATACACTTCTCACTTTTTTTGGAGCATCCCTTTTGAGATCAGGAGGGTGGCATATTCGTCCATTCTTGATCTGATGGCAGCCTTTACAATGCTTGTAGGCTGAAGGACAAAACCAGGGCAATAAAGGTACAAGAATAGACCCACTGCCTCCCCAACAAGCATGTCATAAGAGGCGACCAAATGGGGTTGGGGGGTGGGGGGGGGGGGGGCCTTCCTTTGAAGTCAAGAGTGCATCTTCCCAAGCGGCAAGAAACCAGTAGTCTGCATACAAATAAGCCAGATCTGTAAAACAGATGTACCTGCAAAACTCAGGTCCTTGAACAAAGCTAAAGTCTAGAAATGCCATTGGACGGTGGACGCAAACAACAACTTATCAAAGAGCTACTGTTTGCAGATGATGCAGCAATAACTACCCACTCAGAGGAGGAGCTGCAATGTTTTACAATCTGCATTTGCTGATGCCTGTTGTGAATTTAGACTAACAGTCAGCAAAAAGCATACAAAGGTTATGGTGCAAGGTGTTAATGATAGACCTGTAATCTACACTGACGGTGAAGAGCTGGAGACAGTTGACGGTGTTACCTTTCTGGGTTCCACAATGAATAACAAACTATCGCTAGACCAAGAAATAAACATCAGAATAGGTAAGGCAGCAACAATAATGAGCAGATAACAAAAAGAGTAGAACAGAAAGCTCATGATTAAAACAAAAACTCTTCACTGTTAGGCTTGTGTTCTCAGCACTCTGCTTTATGGCAGTGAAACTTGATCAACTTATTCGCACCAGGATAGATGGCTAAATAGCTTTCAAATACAATGCCTAAGAAGAATACTTGGCATTAAGTGACAGGACAAGATCACAAACACCGAACTATTGAAAACAGGAGGTATTACAACAATAGTCTTCTCAATGCTCAGTCTATGAAGGTTCAGGTGGCTGGGTCACCCCTGGAGATAGAGGATTACAGAGTCCCTAAGGACATCATTTATGGTGAATTAAAGATGGATAGAAGATGTTGAGGCCGACCTCTACTACGATATAAAGACGTGTGCAAGCGGGACATGAATGATACATGTATTGAGGTGGACTCATGGACATTGTTGTGTGGAGGGGGCACATCAGGAAGGGAATGAGAATGAAGGAAGAAATGATTACAGAAAGGATGAGAGCTGAGTATCTGAGAAGAAACACACTAAACACAAATGGTCCTGAAATCCCATGCTATAATTGTGGAACTTTTCTCAACACAGGCGGGTCTAGCTAGTCACATTCGCCATGACTATAGGCTGTGAGTCCCATGTTTCCTCAGAGCGCAATACAACACTATCGTCTGGAAAGACAGAAAGGTGCCAATCATCAATCATATCATCGATGAGAGCCAGACTGGACACTACATCTCTGGGAGCCACCCTAATTAATTATAATTTGAGACATTATTCATGGAGCACAATAAGAATGTGCAGCAGTTGTCTTGCATGAGGTTCCATAAAAACAGTACAGAGAAGGCTGGCGCCCAAGAAGAGGTTTGGAGTATCTCTTTACATGCATAACAACGACCTTAACTTTCTCTCATGCCTGTGACAGAAATCAAGACACCAGTCTTGTTCCAGATCATGTGCTTTGTCTGCATATATATTTTACATGTGGCTTATTTGTATGCAGACTGTTCGTTCCTCCCCTTTCAAGCAGACACAATCTGACCTTGAAAGAAACAACTCTAATTAGTCAGCTTTAGAAGACATGGTTGTCAGGCCAGCTGGTTTTTCAAACTGGGAGCCATCAGCAGAAAAGGCAGAAAAGAAAAGAAGAGACAACTAATCCAAGAAAAAACCAGAAGAGATAACTTACCATCTCTGTTACTTGTTGGATGAGTATCTACTGGTCTGCCTGCATTCATATAGTCTGAGTTGATGAAAGGCTTGCTGCCTGGATACTCAAAATACCTGGAGGACTCAGTGTTCTGAGACATGCTGAGAGGGATACTGCCTTCATGGGTGCCCCCTTGGTTTCCTTCCATGGTGTGATACTTATGCTTGTTAGAGTGGTAATGTCCTAGATTGTGAGAACCAGCTCTGCTACGGTAGTTGTGTGTCTCCTTGATACCCTGTACATGTAAATCAAAGAGACATTTAACTTTTCTGTAACAGCAGATTTCACAGCAGTGTTTCTTCTTGACTGTAAACTCTAGTAGAAAGTTGGGCTATCCTCAGAATTACGGTCGTAAATTGTCGAGGCAGAAAATAAACCCTAACAGGGCCTCAGTCACGTGTCAGTTGCGCACTTCCGGGGACTATAACGCCACCGCCGAATTGCGAACCTCCTGCAACTTCCGTCACCGCCGAGAATGTCCTCCACGCCACATGAGCGGCGTGGATGACACTCTTGGCGGTGGCGGAAGTTGTCGAAAGTTCCCGATTCGGCAGTGGCGGAAGTCGCCGTAAGCGCGCAGTTTAAGATGACGGAAGTGCGCAACTGACACGTGACTGAGGCCCTGATAGGGTATATTTTCCCCCTCGATAATTTATGACCGTTATTCGGAGGATAGCCAAAAGTTGTGGTGGTTCATCCACCTTTAGACTTTGATCTTGCTCCAGAACTTGAGTTGTGTGTGTGCATCTATTTAACAGATCTAGCTTATTTGTCTGCAGATTGTTCGTTCCTTGTTCCTCAGGCAGATGCACTCTGACTTTGAAGGAAACCCATAAACTCTTAGGACATGCTTTTCAGGGATGCAGTGGGTCTGTTCTGTTTCACCCCCATAGTGCAGCCCAGAACCCACTGTAGATTGTGAATAGGACAATAACTCCTTGTATATGTGTGGCGGAGGGAGATGGAGGGGGGGGGGGGGGAGAGAGAGAGAGGGAACATGCCCCCTTTCAAGCTTGTGGTAAAAAGTGACTAATTAAATGTATGCTAAAATCAGATGAGTTGTGCTAAAAGTGCAGTTAGCTGTAAACCATAACACAACAAGCTAACTGCCCAAACAATATGAACAACCATGAAATACCACAGATTTAAAACAAAAACTGGTGTATTAAATCTGTATTCAAAGAAATCCAGATTTAAAAACACTGTTGGCTTAAACCCACAGCCACAATACTAAAACTAACAAAACAATAATAACAGCCATACAATACTACAGATTTAAAACAAACTGTAGCATTCAACCTATAGCCAAGATAATTTTAATAGCGGTGTTAACAGCCATACAGTACCGGAGAATTCAAACAAAAACCGCTGAATATGACCTACAACCAAAACTATAAAACAAACATCACAATACAGGTACCATACTTTACTACACATGTATTAAAAATATATTATCATTAATTTCCACTTTTGCTGTTAAGCGTCGTGGGAAGGAACAGTTTGCGATCCATTGCTTGATGGACAGCAATGGCTACTGTCATTCCGTGTCCATGGAGAAGCTCTTTAAAGTCATCAATCAATCTTCTTCTAAGGCAGATTCTCGCTTTCACTTCAGATCTTTTCATGTGCAGCGCCCTCTTTGCTAGTTGTTCTGGGTGCATTCTTCTAAATGACCAAACCATTTTATCTCCTGTTTCTCAATGCATGGTGTTGTTCCCACAGTCTATCTGATCATATCATTTCTGTTTCTGGGATTGTGTGCATTGTTAGCTTGCTGCATGGTGATATATTCAGTAAGTTGTTAACTACATCTATACATATTCTTGGCCTTCCTCTGCCTTCAGATGTTTCTATTCTCATGTTGTATGCTCTTGTAACTAGTTATGTTGGGTTCAAAAAATTTCACTCTCTGGTTTTTAAAAATCTAATTACAGGTGTTGTTTCCACCATTTTAATGATATATTCGTTTCATTTATAGTCTCTGCTTGTTATGCCGACTGCTTTTCTTAAACATCTCATGTCGTTAGTTTCTGATCTTGTTCTTTTGCTAGTACCAAGGTTTGGCATTGGTAGCACAACATTAGTAAAAAGATTGCATTTATAATTTGTCTTTTAGTTTCCCTTGGTAATCTTAGTTTTAGCATCATAGCAAAGGGGTCAACCCATAGTTGCTCTGCCCTTGTGTCAATGAATGACACAGAATGTCCATCATTGTCCCTTGTGTAATAATTGACACAGACTGCTGTCTCAGCATATGCACTAGCATACATATGCATTAAAAGCAAAAGGCAGCCATCAGAAGTGCTAACACAATAGTCTGACATTAGAAATGGTGTTTACTATCGACGGAAGCAGCAGTTACAAACAGATCAGCAGTTGCACACGCAATTAACTTTAATCACATAAGGCGCCACCAACTCTGTGGCAAATGGCCACTGGCCATTTTCTGAATCTGCTGTTCACAACACCAAGTTGGTCACAGTCAAAAAACATTCCAAATGAAATCTGCAGTAAAAAGTCTCACAGCATGAACTCAAATCAGTAGCTGGGCAACAAACTATATCCTTTCAGTCTACAACTGGAGGAAAATGCAACAGCCACCATCCGGCAGAAGCAAAAATTGTCTAAAACTAACTGAAAATTGCCTAACCTCCATTGTGCCCCGTGCTGCTCATTGGTATTAATGGGCAAAGTTAATAGGCAAAACTGTTGGATTTTAGACTCGATCTCTCTGTCCAGTCTGCTGCTGTGAGGATGCTTCCAAGATATTTGAACTCATTCACCTGTTTTAATGAATGTTCCTTAATTTTAGGTCGATATTTTGCTGTTCCCTGCTCATGTTTATGATTTCTGGTTTTTCTATGTTGATCATCGCCAAAGGTGGAGAGAGCTGATCACAGTCAACAAAAACTGGTCATCAAACTACACCCAGAATTATGGGACGGTGGTGATCATCGCCAAAGGTGGAGAGAGCTGATCACAGTCAACAGAAACTGGTCACCAAACTACACCCAGTTTTACAGGACAACGGTGATCATCGCCAAAGGTGGAGAGAGCTGATCACAGTCAACAAAAACTGGTCATCAAACTACACCCAGTTTTACAGGACAACGGTGATCATCGCCAAAGGTGGAGAGAGTTGATCACAGTCAACAGAAACGGTCACCAAACTACACCTGGTTTTACGGGATGATGGTGATCATCGCCAAAGGTGGAGAGAGCTGATCACAGTCAACAGAAACTGGTCATCAAACTACACCCAGTTTTATGGGACGATGGTGATCATCGCCAAAGGTGGAGAGAGCTGATCACAGTCAACAGAAACTGGTCACCAAACTACACCTGGTTTTACGGGATGATGGTGATCATCGCCAAAGGTGGAGAGAGCTGATCACAGTCAACAGAAACTGGTCATCAAACTACTCCCAGTTTTACGGGATGATGGTGATCATCGCCAAAGGTGGAGAGAGCTGATCACAGTCAACAGAAACTGGTCACCAAACTACACCCAGTTTTACAGGACGATGGTGATCATCGCCAAAGGTGGAGAGAGCTGATCACAGTCAACAGAAACTGGTCACCAAACTACACCCAGTTTTACGGGATGATGGTGATCATCGCCAAAGTTGGAGAGAGCTGGTCACAGTCAACAGAAACTGGTCACCAAACTACACCCAGTATTACGGGATGATGGTGATCATCATCATCATTTGTTCTTGAGACAGCTATTACGAAGTGCATTAATGTTTTCTTATAGTTATTTGGTTTTACTGCAGAGTATGCCTTGATCTTCAGCAAAGAACAGCTCGCTTATGTAGTTTGGTTGGCCGTTAGTTGATGCTGTTTCCTCCACTTTGGTGACAATATCCACATAAATAATGAAGTGCAAGGGTGATAGAACACATCCTCGTCTCACTTCGGATGTTACTGGAAACAAAAATGTGGTTCCATCTTTTTTTTAATGGCACTCTTATTTCCACGATACACGGCTCCCCAAAACACACTAGCATAAGCATACCTCCGGGAAAGGGGAGTGGTGGCCTACAACACAGTATTAACAACACAGATGTAAATAAAACACACACTGCAATATTTAAGGGGCGAAACCTAACAAAATAATATTAACAACTTTGAATTTTAAACACAGACTGTAGTATTAAGCATATCACTGGATTTAAACCAAACAAAAAGGTATTAACATCTTTAGATTTAAAACAAACACTGTTAGATTTTGAAACAAATACTCCACACAGCACACAGATAGGTCCAAACGCGTTCCCAAACCCAATACAAAAACCTACCCAGTAAAGTGAGTTGTGTGGCACGCTACGTGCTACACTGCCAAAAACAGCACCTACCGTTAAATTGCCTGACTGAATCAATCCTGTAATTAGGAAACCACGACTAACGCCACATAATTCAGTTACTTTGTAAATCAGAACGTTAATGGTGAAACTGTCTTACGGGATATAGTTTCATGTTTATAAAGATCACTGTAAACAGTACACGGGGTAGACTGCCGCTTCGTGTGATAATACCCAGTATGTTCACGACTGCTCAGTTACTAAAAGAATATATGAATCGAGGAGCAAGTTGAATATTCTGTCAGGCAATCTCCGATCAAACGGAAAATGAATGAAAGAGATTTGGGTGGAGACTGCTGGCCTGTTATTTTATCAGTTTTCGGGAATCAGGACGTGAACAATGAACTTATTGGGGAGAATTGGCTCAACTCCCAGGAAACGGGTGTACTACTTGACTACTGATACATCTGGGACAGCACTATTATGTTTCTACTTATGAATTATCATCCCTTATTAAGATCTGGCACGTTATGGTGTGATTTATATCACGAGTGTAATATCTGCGGGAGTCGCCGTTGCGCTGGCGGCTAGTCGCCCGCCTGCAGATCGGAATGTCGTGGGTTCGCGTCCTGACAGAGCCGGGCTTTTTTTCCCTTTAAAAATGACATTGACTATCCTTCAGTGGGTGCCAGGTGGTCCTGTGAAGTAAAGGCGGCCGGCGTGATGCTGACCACATCACCCACCAAGTGCCGATTGGTCTATACAAAAGATGTCTATTATATTCCCTATATGCCTAAAGGGGCGGAGAAGGGACGTTTACTTTTGTATTTGTAATATCTGCTCC